CATGCGGAATCGTGGGATTGAAATTTACATTCCTGGGGAGAATGATGGAAATATGTTGGACAGTCTGGATTTGAAGTTACTCCTGCATGGCTTGGCTGTGCATTCAGAAACCAAGGCAACAATAGCAGGTAAAAAAAGTCTGTTCAGTATTTTTTAGCAACACGGGCTCATTACATATATATGGATGAAGTCTTTAGTATTAAACCCTGGTTATTTTGTTGTGTTCTGTGCTGCTGTGAATAAGCACATTAAAAAAAAACCTATAATCAGGTACTTTTGGATTGGTTGTTTGCCTTCCCAGGAAGTAGGCCCAAGTCATGAAAAAGGGGTAACTACAGTGCTTTGTTAGGGAAATATCAGACACTGACACATGTCTGTTTCCCCTTGCTATCGGGAAGGCAATGTATTCAAAGTGAAAATCAGCAAAATAGAGTGTTTGCACAAGGTGTATTTTGCAGATGAGTTTCATTCATCTCATCTGTTTGATGTCTTATTATGAGCTGGTTATCTGTTATTTACAGTCTTGTAAGATTTTCTTGTCAACCTCGGAAAGAATCTATTCAGCTTTCAGGTCAAAAGGATGTATTTGTTTTGTATCATGACACCAAAAGTGGTGTTTGTCAGATTAAAGGGCTGACAGTTGCTAAACATTTGTTTAATTCAAATTGCTGTGTATCTTTCAGGTTCTGTGTCATCTTTGTCACCTTTGCTTCAGGCTGCTGTATTAATTGTGCAGCAAATAAAAAGAGGCTTTGGATTAGCAAAGTCTTTTTACAGAGCCTGTTGGGAAGTTTATGGCCGCTCACAACAACTGCAGATTAACCAAAAGGTAAAAATCCTATATTTGAAAGCTTTTCTTATAAGTGAAAAATGTAACTTCGTGAGTCTAGTGTTAGAGATCCTCTGTTTTAAGTGCCTCAGCAAGAGACTGATAAAGATGGTGCTCTTGGAGAGATGATGCAGACAATATCCTGTTTGGACTCTGAAGTTTGTAGTTTGTAACAGCTTCAGCTGAGACTTTGGGATATTCATGCTGATTATCTGTAGCCTGTAACAATGTGCACACTGTCACCTGTAGACAATGTTTGAAACTGCACAGTATGTTATTTCATTCTGGTAGGAATATTTTGGTTATTTTACTGTGTACATTATGTAGTGTTTGTAGAAGATTTGGTCTATAATAACTTCATCATAAATGCATGTAATTAAAGTTTCCTGAACTGTGGTGCTTGAATGCATGTTACATAACACATACATTGTGTGACTCTAAGCTTGTTTTTTGGTTGGTTGTTGTAGCTTGTGTTAGAGTTGGTTACAAGGCATGCTTCAACTCTGACTTCCCCTGACACTTGGGGTGAGTCCTTGCTGGCAGTGGGATTGTGGCCAGACTCCCTGCCTTCGGGTGTGTTTGCAGCTGAAGACTCACTCCTTTCCACAGTCCAGAGTGATGGACAGGTCCTGATGTATTGTCTGCACAGACTGAACCTCAGAAACTGCAGGTAGGAAGGAAACTTTTTTTTTTTTGTCTAGTAAATGAGAAATAATATATGTGAACTATTCATGGCACATCATTGCTTATTGCAAAATCCTGTCTTCATCAAATTGTGCAGGTAGAGACTGTGATTGTCATACTCTGTAACTGTGTTCCTGTTACTGTTCCATACAACCACTGCAAATGAAAGTTTAATTATTTACTGTGTTATTCTTAAGTCTTCCAAATACATTCAAAATACTTGGCTTTTTAATCTTCAGTTAGTGCATTTGACTCATTTTGAGAGTTGTTTAGGAGAAAATATAAGTGCAAACACTGGATTTAGTAGGTAATAAGAGCCCCAAAATCTCTTCCTTCAGTTTCCTTCTAGGCTTTAAAAGACTTGAGCACTGAACTAGTTTAAGTACTAATGATTCTCTGGATTTCCTAATTTCATGTAGTCAATTATTCATCAATAATTTTAGGTCCAGTAGCTTCAGGTGAAAATACAAATCTCCTTCTTCAGACAGAGCTGTCTGAAAGAAGCATTATACCCGCCACACAGGGGGTATATGAAAGAATTTTTATAATTATTTATTGTACAATATAGCTGTTAATTTTTACAACACTGGTGCAAAAACTTGTTTCTGCTTTCTTTGTTTAATAACCTACTCTGGACAGCTACTGTAGGTTGCTTCCAGTGAAAGAACAAGCTGTGGAAGTTTGTACTAAGATAAGAAGTTGAAATTGTAAACTCTTAGCAATATGCTGTGTTGTTTGCTATTTTTATTCAGTGTGGTTGTTTATTTATTACTCAATGACACTTCCAATATTTGTCTCTTTAAATTTAACTTTGCATATCATTCTGGTGCACAAATCAATTAAAATTTCTCAGTGATATTATGTGCATATGCTCTTGGGATAGTGCATGAATATTTTGCAACTGTGAGGTCCTAATAGTAGACACCACTAACTGATTTGAAGCTGGAAACTGGTTTTAAAGCTAAATAAAGGAGGAAAGATCATTGCATTGCCACACTGATGCCTAAAGATGGTTGTGTAGCTTGACCTGCAAAATATATTTTTTCCTGGATCTGGCAACTCAAGCCCTTGATTGCTGGACTTCTTTGTGTTTCAGGACATTACCAGTGACTCTGGAAGATCTGAAGAAAGTTATGCAGTGCACTAATCCTGAGAGTCTCAAGTTCAGTGCTGTTGAGATAGATGCAAACTGGATGGACAATATGGAAGTTCTCCAGGCTTCAGTGAAATTGTTCATAGAAAAGGCGACCAATCAAGATTGGAAATTAAGAGTTAAATGGCTTAACTCCTTAGCCAAAAATCTGCCACAAGGGCTTGGTATGTAATCATTTAACTTTGTTTTGTCTGAGGGCTGAGTTGTTGTTATGTTTTGCAAATGGTAAGTCTTCTATGAAAATATCCAGACCATTCCAAATTATGAGTTATGGAGACTCTCAACTATTCACACTAACTCAAGGGCATGGAGGCTCCAGGGAGGGACAGAAACAGGTTGTGCATTAGGTTGTGTGTTAGGGAAATAAAGTGATTTGGGCTAAACATTGTCCTTTATTATTCAACCATTTGTGTAACTTATGTTACTTCTGAGTTAGTTATTTTTGGAACATTTAGGCAGGCATTAGTCCAAATAATTCACACATTTAGCTTTCTTCTATGGTCTGAAATCTGACTATGCTGTCCCTCTATTAATTACTTCCCCTTTATTTTGCCATCTTTTCAGGCAGGTAGGTCTGTAAAGTAGAAAATATGTAAAAAATACTTTAATGAAAACTGTGCTCTTTCTTTTCTTATTGTAAAGAAAGTAACTGCCCTCCCCCCCAAAAAAGATGTATTGAGAGGAGGATTTGAAGGTATAAATTCATGGATTTTCAGAAACCATAATATACTAGCATACATGTAGTATTGCCAGTTCAACTAGAATTCCTTATATTTATGGAATATAAGGATTTATAGGATTTATGTCTTCAGCTGTGACATTCTGGTGCTTTTAAGACCTTTTGGAGCTAATAGAAAATATGACCAACCAGCATATCCAGCGTGCATGTGCAGATTTGATTCAGTCTGCTTGTACTGGCTCAGTGGAAGCTATTTTACTTGATTTGTACTAAACACTCTTTTTTGCCCATGTTCTCCCTTCTTCATCTGCAGATTCAGTGCGGATTCAGCTGGAAGCAGGTGCTGTAGCCCTTGGCTGTTTTTATGCCAGTCCCCTCTCATCGGGAGTCAGTAACATGATCAAGTTGCTACAGCCAACTATGACAGGTACTCCTGAAAAGGATGAATGTAAGACATTGCTTCCTTTATTTGTTCTCTGAACACACTGCAACCCTTCTTAGGAAATGTATGTAGCAAAACAAAGGCCAAATTCTTAACATATGTTGTCTTGGTCATGAAAGAAAGTACAACTAATAAAAAAATAAAAAAAGAAATCACAACCAATGCAAACATTCTTGCTGTCTAGAGCAGCAAATATGGCAATTAGATGCATTCATACTATTCAAGTTAGAGATGAGTGCTCTGCCCATGAGTCCTGGCTGTGTATCTGTGACTCAGATGTATTCTTACAGCTCAGAGTCATGTTCTGAAGAGTGATTCAAATATTCGCTGCCTTTCTGACTTGATAGTATAGGCACCCTCGTCTTTTTTTCCTCGAGATTTGTGTTAGCCCATCTGAAACCCATAGTTTGGCCTGCAGTTATCCCTTGGTGTTTTGTCAGGAGCCCAGACCTGTGGCTTCTTTTCCAAGCTTGTTGGGTGCATGAAAACTGCATACAGTGACACTGGGCCTTTTATGCATTGTCCTGGATGTTTTGCCTGGACTGTGAGCCAGACTTGGGTTTCTAAGCTCTGTTTGGGTGCTTTAGCCCCTGTTTAATTTATTGTCACTGTTCTGTTTTACAGAACCTGCAGTCAGCTTTAATGCTTTTCTCTTTGGATACCTGGAGTGAGAGAGTTTGACTGCCTTCCTCCTAGGCTGCTTTCTTTCCCTAATGTTCTTGCATAGGCAGAGGGACCAAGAAAATAACTGAGTAACATTTCACTGCTGTCCTGTCTTGTCTGCCTTTCCAGATGAACATGTGATGCCTCTGGACCCAAGATGGAATATGCAGTTTTTGGAGATCATTAGAAATTCCATGAACTTTGATACAGAAATGGAGCACACAGACCAGCTTCTTATGCTTTTGAGGTCTGCAGCAAATCGGTGGGTTACAAGAAAACCCTTGTACAGCCCAATGCCTGTAATCAGTGCTGAGTAAACACTTGAGATGTCTGCCAAATGTGTTTTTAGGTTTTGATAGCTGTGATCTAAAATATCAGGCAGGGGTTTTTGTACAGGTATTTAAATTCTTTGCTTCTGTTTTCTGTAAATGCACACTAAACACAATCACTTAATACAGGAGCAGAGCTCCCAGCATTCCCTACAAGCTGCAGTTCTTCAAGGACAAATCAGAACTGTGGGATAAAGCATTAAAGAGGCAGAAGCAGCAGTGTGAGAATTCTGGCAAAACTGCAATGGTTGTCCTGCTTTTGGATTTGGACTGTTTTCTTAATAAGATTAAAAAGTACACAGATTTTGAAGTTCAAGTGTAAGGAAGCAGCTGCTCAAATATCCTACAGGCCGTGATGTTGCATCTGATGAAATCAGGAATCTGCTCCTTGTGAAGCTTGCTTCTACAGAAACCATATTCAAGCAATTAGTTGTGTTGCACCTTGTACTTCTTCCATAATACACTGAATATATTATGTAACTTTGCAGTTCAAATGCCATGTTGTAGTTCATCATTCTAATAAGGCCAAGGTTTAAAACAGTACTGGATTGATAACTATTTTATTTTTACTTCAGGGCAATGTTATTTCTTGACCGAGAAAAAAGAAGTTACATTGAGAAGAGTTTGATTGCCAGCAAGAAGCCAAGAAACAGTGTCTTAAGAATGTCTCTAGATTTCCACAAAAGTGGGTTGATTTTTGCTGTTCCTTTTAGTTATGTAATCAATTTGAAATATGGTTCATTTGCATTGTTGCGAAATGTGTACTTTAAACATGGTGTGCAGAGAAAGAGCATATGAATGTAAAGCAGTCAAATGAGAACTAGTGTGGTATCTAACATATTATTCTTAAATTAGATATACCTTAGGCTACACTATTTGTGTCATGCTTCTATGAGGTAATCAGTGAATATGATTTTTCTCTTAATTAACCAAACTTCAGGGTAACAGTGGAGAGAAACTGGAATAGCATTCTGTCTTTAGCTAAGAAGAATAACCAAATTCTTCAGATGTGTTTTTGTTTTATGTAACTAGGAAGTTTTACTTCTAAAACAAAGGGTGAAATTTAGTGATGAGGTCAGTGTGCTGCTTAGAAGCAATTGATCAAGGAATCCCTCATTATGGGCTTTTTTAATATATGTATAAAATGCGTAGAGGTAATAGAGAATTGTGAAAATAATGAAGGACTACTTTTATTGCTTCATTTCTTGGATCTTTTCAGGTTGTGTTTTTTTTCCTCAATCATAGAGAGGTTCTAGTCATCAGAAGTTGAGCCATATGTATAGTATGATATGGCTGGAATATTCAGTCTCTGCCTTTCTTTTTCTCTTCCCCAAAACTCAGATCCAGGAAGTTACAACTGTCTTCCTCATGGAATCGTGGTCAACCTTGCTGCTTTCTTTGAACTTTGGGATGCATTTGCCCTTCACTGGGTGAAGTCTACTCAGGTGGCCTTAAGTGATGATGACACACATGATGTGAGTAGACTTCCCACAGTACATTTATGGAAGTTAAGTGAAATAAGATTGTGTGCGGAGCACTATTTTTAGTTTCAGGGACCATGAAAAAAACTGCAGTGTTTCTGATTGTATTCAGAATATGCCTAGCAGTAGGCATATTTGTTTCAGTGGCTGTATTTGTGCCCTGTAATACCTGCTTAGGATGGCATGAACTGTGCTGTAGGAGTGCCTGTTTCTCTTCACTGATGATAAACAGAGTATCCATTTCTATCTGTGATAAGTGTGTCTGAACCTGGGCAGCTGACATGCAGGCCACAGAGGTGGTTCACTTCTCCCTCTCCCTTTTCAGACCATGAATACAATTTTGCTGAAATTGTAGACTTGATGCAGGGATTGTTTAGTTTTGGCTGCTGTAGTTCCACCTGCTGGTGTGGTATTTTTAGACTCCTGGTTGTGTAGCACTAAAGACAAAACACTGTAGGACTCAGAAGTTAACACAAGTGATGGTGGTTTTGCTTTTCCTCATGCTTGAAGGAGGAATTACAGTGTGAGCTCCTTGGCTTGTTCCTAGGTTTTGTACTGCTTGCTGTGGCGGGACCGGTTCTGGGCTGTCTCTGACGCAGTCACAGTGGATTCATCAGGGCTGTCACTCCTGGCTCTGCACTGGCACTGGGTTATGAAACACCTAATTGACAGAATTCCTCAGATGCTTACTGGATCTGACCAGAACAAGTGAGTGGCTTTGTTTGGTGGCTTTTGATTGGTTTCTGTTAAATGGCTGTATAAATGTCTCTTTTCTTTAGCATTATAGCTACTTAGCATTGTTTAGATTAGTGTCCCCTTAGTGGTCGTGTTCCATTAGTGATGCAAATAACAATGTATTGAGTAGCTGTTCGTTTCTAAAATTCGTGTTTCCTAGCTTTGTACTTCTGCTTGCTCAAATGATCATCTAGAATTTTTACCCCTTTAATGAAAGGATGAGAGAAAGACTTTCTTATGCATCCTTTTGCCTTGTCTCTCAAACTTCATTAACTGTGGGCTTTTTTTCTCCCATCTGTCCCTCCCTTTTTTTATTTTTTCTTCTACAAGGATTTCCAGGGAAATTCAATCTGTTTCACAGCAGATTCAGAACTGCTTGGTCAATCCTGCTGGTATTTCAGCGAATATGAAGATACTACAGAAATCTCTAGGAAGACCCCTTCCTTTTAAGGTATCAATACTCTGTTTGCAAAGGATTTGTATGTACAGCAATGTCCAGATAGACATTAATATATTTGGAGCACTTGCTTTCCAGGACAGCAAAAACACAATTATTTCGTGTTTGTTAGATTGATAAAAAAGAAAATTTCAGCACATGTTAATGTACATATCTTTTGGGAAATATATTAGTTATCCAGATATAGCATTCCTACTAATAATTATGGTATGTATGGAAAATACTTACTCAATGTAATAGGGTGCCTGAGCAAGAAAAATATTACTCCGTGCTCTGTTTTGAAGACTTGTGAATATCAGTGTCCCACTGGCTTATTCAGTGAACATATGTGTATTTAGAACAGCCTGTGCACTTCCTTTATACAGCATAGAGTGGGGCTGCCTTTTGGCTTTCCAAAATAAGACAATAAATAAAACTTTGACAGTTTTGGAGCTTGTTCTTAATATATTTCAGAATTTTTTGTAATTCAATTTAAAAAAAAAATCAGTAAATTTTCTAAAGAATACAAGTCCCTGTTTAAAAGGAGTGTACAAGTAGTCATGTGCAGTCGTGTTGGTGACTAGTACTTAAATCTAGTTTTTTATGACCTTATCTCTCAAGGATACTCACCTGTCAAAACATGGACATAGCTACTTTGTGAGACTTTGAAGAACGCTCAGTGCTTACTAAGAATTTGGAGGGATCCAAATGTATTTAGGCATCCAAATGTATCTAATGTATCTAAGCATTCAAATGTATTTAAATTGAAGGTATAAACTGCAATGTCTTGTAAGTGACAGTAGCTCCTGGTATTTTTTTATTATTTTGTGTATTTATTACCCTTGATTTAGATGAGTTGCCAAGTTTGAAGTACTATTTGTCTGCATGGTCTATGTTATTTCTTCATGAAGGGAAAAAAACATGACTTCACAAGGAATTGTAGCCACCTGTTCCAGTTTCTGTCTTCCTGCTGTATTGAGTCAGGCTACTAGAGGATTATTTTTAAGCTGTTGTTTCAGGCTGGTTATATATAGTGTGTATGTGAATTTGAAATCTTAGTTTTGTCTGCAGTCACAAATCTTGTGTTTTGTTAGTGCTGCTGAAACAAATTGTCCTTTTTGTGTTTCCAGGATAAACTGGGCATGGAATGTTTTTCTCAGTTAAAAGCTCTCAGCAAACCACTGAACATCTTGGAGCTAAGATTGGCCTGTGGAGAAAGTAGATGGCAGGAAAAAATGTGCTGTGTGAAAATTGCTGCCACAGGAATGAAGATGAAGAAAGCATTGCTGCAAGCTGATGGCCTGATAATAAGAGCCAATCATTTAGAAGATGTTAGTCTGGGTAGGTAACACTTGTGAAGAGCCCAGCAGGATTATTTCTGCCATCTCCATTCTTTCGTACACAGATGGAAAGGATGTTAAATGTTCACTGACAAGAAACACAGTACTAGCATTTATGTGCCTCTTCTATTCTGTCAAACAGGTCAGTTACAGATATTTCTGAAAGTTGTACATTCACAGCTGAAAGAAGGAGGAGTCACATACAGTTACTCAGAAGAAAGGCTTCCTGAAGACACCATCTCCAACCAGTTAGACTCTGCCCTGTTAAACCAGCTCTGCAGTCAAGTTCAGCTGTGGCCTGCAATGGAATACATAGGGGTGCTCTGGCAGTACAAACTAACAGCAGATTACGTGGCCAAGGCTTGTGCAAGAAGGTAAAATGTTTGGAGAAAGAACTCCTATATTGCTTTCATAATATTCTGAATCCCTAGCTAGAAGCTGGAGCTTTGGTGCTTTACAACTGCATGTAAATCTGTGCAGGTATTTGTAATTTATAGATACACGTGTGTGTATGTGCATATATATCCATGCAGTACACAAATATATGTGTATTAAGAGTCAACAGAGGATGTTTATACCATATTGCTGAGGGCTACTGCAGAAAAACTGAATTAGACCTGAAGACAAAGGAAGTAGACTAGTATACATCCATCCTTTTGTATAAACTATACATGCAGAGAATCATAGTTTAAATTAACATTATTAATTTAAGAAGTGTTAGGGTTGTTCTAAGGGGCCAAGTGTATTTATTTTTAGTCTGGTTTACCATTCCTTAAAAGAAAGCTATTCATTTATGGATTTCAGTGAAAGTAATTTTTCGTGTAATGAGACTCTTGGAATCACTGGTTCACTCTTGAATTCAGCAAAGTTCTGACTTTTCACAAAAGTTATAAAGCTAGAAAATAGTTTGTCTCCAAATGCTTTGTATGTTTTGCTCAACATGGAGCTTATAGCTACAGGATATTACACTTTTCCCTCTTTCTCTTGTGTTTAGATTTTGTTAACTTTGAAGGATTCAAGTGTTTTGAGTATAATTTGAGTGCTTGTTTGTCCCCAGCGTTTGAAACACTGTCATTTTAACCTTTTGGTGACTTTGCTTGCCATTCTTCATTTGTTTTACTATCCGAGTGATTTATTTCATGTGCCCTGCTTAAGCACTGCTTAGGTTGTATTTTTTGTACGTGCTACAGGAAGAACTGCAGTCAAGAATTAAGGGTCTCTTCAGATCTTGCTCAGTTCATAGCTTTTTCTTTGAAGTTGACACCAGCTGCTTCTCACCAGCTTTCTGGACTGTGGCATCTGTTACACCTTAATGAAGTAAGAGTAAGTTTTATTTTAATTTTATTAAATCAGATCTTTAGCTTAATTAATCTTGCTGAAGTTTTCAAAGATTCTTCAAAATACGTGTATCACTAAGACTTTTGACATGCAGTTTTTCTACCTCTGCCTGACAAAAGCTGTTCCTTCTTTTAAGAAGAAAAGTTATTAACTGCGAGCCTTGAGAAAATGTAATTAAAACACAACGTTGAAAGATAAAATACAACAAAGTCTTAAATAACATGGTTCTGTATGATTTTATTTGGTAGTATTGTTCCATACATCCATCTGTGACCTAATGGGGAAATTGTTTTGGTGGCATGTGCCAGCCTGGTTGTATCTATGTATTCAAAGTAATTTTGCACTGAAAAATGCTTTCTTCTCTTCCCATGCCTCTAAAAATTTTTAGTTCTGTTGCAAACAGAACTAAATAAATCTCCTTGATGCATTTGATAAAGCTACTTGATGCATTTTCTGCAGAACATTTAATAACTGCTTAATATTTATGATACAGTGGTTGTGTTCCCACAAAGCACAGTAAAACATGAGTTCACCTTAAATGCTTCAGAGCAGAGCATTGGATGGTTTTACCCATTTCATGCCTCTGCACCCTCGTGTATTGTAACAAAAGGTTGCACAGTCATGGACTACAGGCTGTATTCTAACAACTTGCTCTGTAGACATGCTGCATATTTCACAGACAGGAGACAGTGCTGACCTCAGGAAATTTGCTCTTCATTGAGCAGATGCAAGCAAATGCTATGTGAATTTGAAAGAATCTTGGACAGTATCTTGTACTATCCCTATTGAAAAACAGAATCATACTTTCTTTGTACATGTGTGTGCTTAATTCTCTTTTGCTCCCTGTACATTATTTTCACCTCTAGGTTTTAATTTCTCCTTAGATAAGCCCCGAAGAAATGGCTCTTCTGTCATCTCAGCTAGTTAATGCTGTGTTAGCATCCTTTTGGAGCAGTACTTTTACCATGGACCCAGACTACTGGTTGACCTGGAGGCCACTGCCTGCAACTGAGGAAAATAACTTCTCTATATCCCATGTGAACCGTTCTATGAAGGTTTGTCTTTTCTGAACTAATCAAATTCTGTGAATGCTCTTGTTGGCTAGCTCAGGTTTTCTAAAGCAATATTGTAAGTTCTAGCATAGTCAGTGCAAGTTGCATCTGAACAATCTAACTCTTAATCTTTTAATTTAGGGCCCAGGCATTTTGACCCGAGCTGTTTTCTCAAAGTGCTTCTTTGAAATTCTAACTAGCAGCAGCAAGACAAGCCAGTGGGATGTGAGTGGGCTTCCTGTCTTGTCATCATCCCATGTAACACTGGGAGAATGGATGGAGAGAGCACAGCAGCTTTACAAAGTCAGCGCAGCTCTGTGGACCAACTTGGCTGTCTCTTCAATAGCAGACTTTAGGTATTAAGACCTCTCTTCCATATATATATGATTTAAATCAAGCATTTGCAGAAGGTTGCTTACTGTGTGTAAACGTTTTCTCATTCCTTTTTCTCCAGACACACGGATGCTAGACTGCAAGGAATAATGCTAAGCAGACAGCTCTCTGCCCTGGTAGATCTGATTCCAATGGATCTTCAAGAAGAATTTTTGGAGTGCTGTGAAAAGCTCTACCTCAAGGATCCTGTTGCATATGAGTACCTGCTAAAGATACTTGAAAGCATCACTGATCAGGAATTACTTCCTAAAGAATTCCTGCTTCTTCTGCTCACTTGTTTGCATCAGTTCTATGGAGAAGGGCTTCAGGAGTTACCAGAGACAGCTTGGCGAGGAAGTCTCTGGGTGAGCATTGGCTTGGTGCAGATCCAGATGTGGCTTCCACAGACCAGGTTTGATCCAGCTGTTAAAAGAGAATACAAGCTCAAGTACTCAAAAGAAGAGGTGAGTGTGAAGCCAAGTTGGCTTTTACCTTGTTATGTATAAAATCAATGCAGAAGAGTTTGGCTTGGTCATGATTTTTAAACTATACAGTTAGAACTTCTTTTAATGTCCATGAAAATCCTTGGTTACTAAAATCAGAACCACTGTGAATGGTTTATTCTTTCCTTTTTAGTTATACCAGCTGGAGTGTGAATGGAAAACACATGATTTTTCATCCCAGTTGCATACAGGGAAAAGTATTGAAGATGAAACAGTCAGCAACTATATTCATCCCCACATCAGGTAACACCCAGGCACCCCTCTCTTTTAGAGTTGACATGCCATCTTTGTGTGCTCAGGCTCCGAAGCTTTTCTCTGAAGCTTTACAGTTTTTCTCTCTTTCTGTGGAAACTAGAGTTGCTGGTTTTAAAGTACAATTTTACATATTGAGGTGGTAGAGAAGAAGAAGCTGCTCTCTTTACTTGCAGTAAGGAATTATCTGTACACTTTGTAGTGCTGTAAATAGAACAAATAAAGCAATGGCCGTCACATATTGATAAAGTTGAAACCATGCCCAGAAGTAAAAACAATGCCATACATTTAAATTACAGTACTTTTCTTAAAATATGACAGTATTATCAATCAGTTGAAATGAGATGGATTATCTATCACAGTAGTTTCTCAAGGAGGCCGTTATACGTGCCAGTGCTATTTTGCAAAGCTCTTCAGCTGATATTACTGAGAAATCTATATATGTGTATTTTAACAATAGCCTTTGGCTGTGTTGCTGTGGATGAATTAAATTTCTTACCACATAGAGTACACTGTTGACATTCAGAATCTGTAGCCACTGTTATTTTGTTTGGGGCTTTTTGTAGCCCTTTTTTATCAGAGGAACTTAAGGACCTCAGGAAGTTTTAAGCAAAGAGAGCTTTCTTTCTCCTTTCTACAGCCTTCCAGTTGTGTTCTGTGTACATGGAGATAAAAAACTGTCTATTATTCATTATTTTCCACTTCTAATAGGAATTTTTGATTTAATTATTGTACACATAGAGGATCTGGTAGCTCCATGCTTAAAGAGAATGATAATCACTGAAAGCGGGTTCTGAATGGCAGAGTTTTACCAATTGCTTGTGGTAATATTTTTTTTTTCTTAATGCTCACAGAGCTGTCTGGTAGCAAGAAAAAAAGTACTTGAAGTTTGAAGTGGCAGGGAGAGAAGAAATCTACACTTGTGGGCTACAAGACTATCCCTCGTTTTTTCCTTACTTGCTGTTTCACACAAACTAGCAGAGTATTTTCTGATTAATCCTTTCCTGAATCTAACTGCTACGTTAGATCTATTTGAACAAGTTTGTATGAAGCATATTTCCATGTCTGAACTGATCAATTTATTTCTTATTATCAATTTATTTCTTAACAGGCTGTTGCATGAAAGAATGCAAGGGTTGAAGGAGCAAATAAGCAGTCTTTCCAGAAGGAAGGCCTTCAGGCCTCCAGCTCCACTGTATGATTGCTTATACCAGGAGGCTCACCAGTACATCAACAGCATAGCACGGATTTCCTCTGTCCAAGACCTTCTAGCCCGCCTTCTGCAGTTCCTCCGTGGAGAGAGACCTAAATCGCTGCAGGCTATACAGAACCTGTTAAATGAAGAGGCATCGTGGCAACAATCCCACCATCAGTTTAGAAAACACCTGGCAGAGGAGTATGCTGTGTTCCCTGATGCCATCATTCCCCTCCAGGCTGCCATCCTGCAGCTGCAGCATGGCATGCGATTAGTGGCTTCTGAAGCGTGTGCAGTGCTGCAGAGCTCTGTGTGCCCAGCTGATCTCACCAACCTCCTCACTTCCTTGTTGGCATTTCCTTCTGTTGGCTGTGCTTTTCCCACTTACTTTGCTCGGGCAGAAACTTTATGCTCAGTGAATTCAGTTGGGGTACTTAATGGACTTAAAAAGTTCTCTCTGAAGCACTCTGAAGGAGGGTCTGAGGGAGCTGAGCAGCCTTCCCCAACTCTGGAACAGCTCCTGGTGAATGCTTTGTTGCATCTTCGATGCCATGTACTATCCAGAGGTGAAATGGACCAGAAATCTCTGCAGCTTTTCAGACATCTGTGTCGGGTAAGCTCTGGATGCCCATAACTGGGAGTCTTGCACTGAACTTGTCCCCTGTGGAAGACATGGATCTGTTAAAACAGCTCTAGAGGAGGGCCACAGAAATCATCAGGGGACTGGAACATGCCTCTTTGTGAAGAAAGGCTGACAGAGTTGGGGTTGTTCACTGTGGGAAGGGACATCTCTGAGGAGACTTTGTTGTGGCTTTTCAGTATATAAAAGGGGTTTATAAAAACGAGGGAAGGAGACTTTTTACTAAGGCTTGTAGAACAAGGTTTAACAGTTTTAAACTGAAAGAGAGTAAATCTGGATAGGGTATGTGTGTTGAGACAGAGGAACAGATTTTCCAGAGAAGCTATGGATACTGCAACCCTGAAAGTGTTTGAGAGTGATTGGGTGGGGCTTTGAGCAGCCTGGTCTACTGGAAGATGTCCCTGCCCATGGCAGAGGGGTTGGATTAGATGATCTTTAGAGGTCTTTATCTTGATAACTATAAGTATGATGTTCTTTAAAATATTCTGGTTTTTTCCCAATTAATTGTAAAAGATAATCTAATATACTGGATTAACTTGTTTGAATTCATCAAGGCATGAAATGATAGCCTGTAACAATTAGCAAAGATTTTATTATGTAAGAAAAATCCCAAACAGAACCCCAAAAGTGGACACATACACAAAAACAACCAGCCCAATGCAAACTTTGTAGAGTTTCTTCATAAAATGTTTAAGAAAGGAAACTAGAACTTGGTCAAGTACTCTGTTGCATATTGTCTTTGCATTTTTCTCATTATCTTATTTAGAGGGCAATTCACAAGTGTTAGATGGCTTTGATTTCTACTGTTGTAGGCCATGGAGGAGGGAAGAGCCAAGCAAAACAGATACTGCCCCACTGATAGGAGATGATTCTAAACGTGAACTTGTGTAGAAGCATCTTGCGTTGTGTTTCCTTAGGCAATTGTGAATGAATGGGATGAACAGGAACGCCGTGCCCAGGAGCAGGAGGCAATGGAACGAAGCCTGTACAGATACAGGAGTAAAAGTCATGGGAAAGGACGGAGCGAGGAAGAAGAGGAAGAAGAAGAATTTAGGAGGAGATTTCCTTTTCATGAAAAGGTAATAGCTGTAACTCTGTTAAGAAACACAAAAATTGCATCTGAAGTTGCTCCTGAAAATAAATGCTATAAATGACATGAGGAATGAAGCAGTTTTTCCTTCATCCGAAAGCCAAATGGGGGTAGATTTTGATAGGTATTAAGTTATGTGCTTGTGGTTTATTTTACCTTCTGGTTGAAAAAGGGTTTTGGGATTTATTTCCAGGTTTGAACTGTACTGTGGTTTGGGTGAATAATCCCAAATTATATAACTGAATGATAATAAAGTTGCTTGAAAAAAGCTAGAATTTTATTTATTTAGCAAGTAAGGTCACACGAGGTTTTACTACCTATGGAGAAGGCTGATCTCCTTGATTAAATAAAGCATCTGGGACAGAACAGTTCAGGTCCTCAAGCGACCACACAGTGTTGAGGTGCTTTATCAGCAAACACAGCTGCTGCTGCTTTTTCTGCAAAGGGGTTTAGTTGGCAGCAGCTCAGGGGTCACACTCTTGCCTGCTGTAGTTAACACCTGAAATGTTCTGTACACCTGTGTTCGGTTTCAGACTAGCAGTCTGTCTATATGGTACCAGCTGCAAATCCTAAACATGTCTTTGCAATGCCAAAAAAAGCAAAAGAGCAGATAGGGAGAGGAGGCATTAAAGAAAGGGGATTAAAATTTACTTTTGATTATCATGTAATTTGCAGGACTTTGAAGATATCACAGCTCAGCCAAGCCTAGAGGAAAAAATGGAAACTGAAGAGCCTGTGGAAGACCAGCTGAAAGCTGACAGAGCTCTTTTGTCCAAGGGCTCTATGCAAACAGTAATGAAGGTTCATCAGCAGTTGTGCTTAAACTTTGCTCGATCCCTGTGGTATCAACAGAGTCTGCCTTCTCATCAAGACAAGCATTATTTCAGTACATTTATTTCTTGCTATCAGACTGGTGCATGCCTGGTGTCACAGTTCTATCCTTTAATTGGTAAGACTGCTAGCAGTATTTCAGATATGCAGGTTTAGATTTGTAATGATTTATTTCAAAATAATTGCTTTACAGGTCATGAAACACACCTGTTGTGGGGAAAATGCACAAAACTGAAAATTGTTTTTCCAGAGAATTTGCCCCATGTTCAGAGTTATCTTGTGAAATGCTTTGATCTTTATTCTTCTATGCATTTTTAAAATTCCTTTTGGTAATATAGAAGACCAACACGGTTTAAAAATTTATTGAATACTGAGTGAAATTTTGATCATATGGATTTGCACAGTCCTGTGGAAGATAAAGCACTTGAAGAAATTTCTCAGAAGTAAATTTTGCAGTGAAGTTCATTAAAGAATTGGTTTAAATTTATCTTATGTATATAAAGTAAAAAGAAGAAAGGTATCGTGGGTTTTTTTTCCACCCTGAATTTTGGAAAACTTGGTGGGTAAATTGTTTTAACGATGTGTGAGAACTCAGAATCATCACTTGTTAAAGCACAGCTATATATTTCAATTCTGATCTAATAAATGCATGTGTGCAATTAAGATGAAGCAAATAAGGGCTGTTGTTTCTACATTACCTTATTTTTGTTTTTGCACCTGGGCTGCAATGTATGTGGGAGTTTTTTTGTGTGTTGGATTACTTTTCCACAGAGCCTTGCTTTATAATAGTATGTCCTTAATGTAAATTTATATACAGAGGAACTGTGTTCTTCTGGCATGATTACAGCCTGGCTTTACAATGCTCATTGTACTTTCATTGAAATATCTGATAAAATAGAAAATATAAACTTTTAAGTATTTCTCGTGTTCCATACTCCCATCTCATTGTTCCAGTGGTATAGCCTTACACCCTTGTAAAAGATAACATGCTTGGGATACAGGGGGAAAAAACCCCCAACTTTATCTGTTCAACTGAAAAGAGAACTAGTAGCATGTGTGGTGTCTTCCTTACTTGCTTCCTAGGTGCTGAAATGAATGATAATCTTTTGGGAAGCCAACTTCTGCTGAGCACTCTTCTTCACAATACCTTTTTCGAAGAAGTAACTTCAGATCTTGTGCTGCAGCAAGATGGCCCATATGACTTCTATCAACATCCCAATATTCAGCAAGTCCGACAGTGCCAACCTGTGCTTGACAATTTTGCTAAGGAAATAAATGGGCTACTGCAGGAATGGCCAGAGCATCCTGTACTTGTGCAGGTAAAAAGGCCTCAGCAAATATTTGGGGAAGACTGGAGCATTTCAGGATTGCATTTAATGTGTGAATATGTGTATAGATATGTGCATACAGATTGATATGCTTGCCTAGATGCTGTCTGTATTACTTAGGCAGAAGTTTTGAAGTCATACCTGTTTATTCATAAGAGGTATAGGTATTATTGTGTGTATTATAGCTGTTCTATTTTAGTTATGAAATGTTAAGTGGGATTCTGCCAAGTCTGAACTTTAAGTTTTAAGCAATTTTCAGTCTGCCATAGCTCAAAGATCCCTGAGGTCATGCTGTTTATACTCTTGTTTTTTTCTGAAGTTCTTTCTTTCATAATGCTTTAGATTACAGCATCTATGTTGTTGTCTTTAGGTTACATTTCTTGGGGTAATGTAGAAACTCAGATTCCATAGAAACTTTGCATCAGGTCATTTGTGCTCCATTCCTCAAGTGCGTTGCCTTAGTGAGCTTCTTGTGAGCCTATACTAAACTGAGAAAGCAATTCATAAATGTAAAAAAGACAAAAAAAATAGTATCTCTTGCAGAGGTCAGTTATGCTCATAGAAATTAACTCAATTTCATGGCTTTTTCTGTTGAAGTGCACTTACTAAGGGCTGAATGTTCTTGTTTTTATTCTGCAGCTGTTAGTTGTGATGGACAGAATCCGGAGTTTTCCACTTTCTAGTCCTCTCTCAAAGTTTCTGAATGGGTTGGAAATTCTTCTTGCAAAGGCACAGGTAACAAGAAGGCTAAGGGAAAGTTCATTTTTCTCTTTAATGTTTCCTTACCTATATTTGCTATCATGTTACTGTGATATGTTGATTAATTAAACCAAGATAGTTACAAACACAGTGCATGAAAGCTGGCTGCTTTTCAGGATTTGGGGAAGTTAACTTGCTCCATGCTGAAAGTTTAAAGAGCAAGAACCCAGTAATCCAGAGTAATACAATGAGTTTGGCCAGGCAGTGACTAATTCTGGCTTTGAGTAAAGGGGAACTTTCCTTTTCTAGGACTGGGAGGAAAACGCTAGTCGAGCCTTGTCCTTGCGGAAGCATCTTGATCTGGTCACACAACTGATTATTCAGTGGCGTAGATTGGAACTGAAGTAAGAATTGTCCTTCCATGCTGCTTTTCCTTAGATACTGTAAGCTTTCATCTCCACATGGAGGCACATTCCAATAAAGAATTGCCTTAATTGTGGAACATGCCTTCTGTGTGTCTGTTGTGGTGAAAATGTGTGGGGAGAAGAGACCACCACCGAGGAGCTGTAGTGGATGAGAATGAGCATGCTCAGGCTGTGGTGACTCTATGTATTTGCCTCAGGAGAAGTAGAATCGGTATTTTCCAAATGCCATCCTGTTTTCATCCTAGGGTTTCCTGAGCTTGCAGGGTTTTGTCTGTTTAATAACCATCACTAAATTTTCCTTAAAAATTATTGTCTAGTCTCCCTTTTAATACCATGTAAAATTTTTGTAACCACAGCATGTCACAATCAGGAGTTCCACAAGTGTACCTTAGTTTCTGAGAAAAGAAACTTTTGAACCTGCCTCTGACAGATTTTGCTTTACTACCCTCCTTTCTTTTCTTCTCTCATATTTAATAATGTTGGCAAAACAATGATCCTCAGAAGTTGATTGTATATATTAAGCTTATGTGTAGATTCTTTCATCCTGCTAAATTAATTAGTTTAATAGAAACAGAAAACAAATTTTTGTTGTTTTGAACCCAAACTACTCATGATATTTTTGATGTATCTCTCCCTTTTCTTATTGTTTGTAGTTGCTGGTCAGTAAGTTTGGACAATATTATGAAGCAGCATGTGGAGAAATCCACAAAGCACTGGTTCTCAGTCTATCAGATGATTGAGAAGTATGTTCAAGAACAGACAGAGGCAAACACAGAAGGTAAGTGCTGACCTTCAAAGAAATGTAATGCAGTTCTAGTAACTACTAAGGATGTATGATTAAGGTCCTAAATGCCAGAATTTGAAAATTCACTTTCAGGTATAGTTCTTTGCCCTACAATAAATTCCATGGCCATGTAGGATTTTCCATATGGTGTGAACTTAGTATGTATTTCTGAAACCACTTGTGGCTCATACAGCCTATGTTGTGATGTAAAGAAAAGATGTCTGTAAAAAGCATCTAAAAGAAAGTAGAATTGTGACAGCTGTATGTTATGCACATATAAACACTTCAAACATATTTGGAAGCTAGGAGTCCTCCATCTGCAATTGGAAAAGACACCTCATTTTTTAGCTGTAGAAAGTATAATTCATATCCCAGCTGAACTGCTTTTAACATTCTGCATAAAGCCTAAAGAATTCTTACAGTAAGTAGGTTTTGGTATGTACTTGTTCTTAGCAAATCTGTCTGTATGTGTTCATGTTACATAAAATAGGGGGACTGAGGGGCAGCGTCTTGCCTTCCCCAGATTTAATGGAATTGTAAAGATGAAAGCACTATCCCCTGGCTTGAGGCCAAGTTTCCAATCTCAAACTACTTAATGCACTTGATGAGCTTTGGTTAAATTACATCTTCAAGAGGACAGCATGTCTTTTTCCACAGATAATACTCTAAAGACACTGTGTTCTCTGCCAGATTCTTCTGGTCTATTTCTGTCCTCATGACTTTGAGGAGTTAAGGAACTGACAGTGACTTACTTATAGTAGGGCTCATAATGTCTGAAAAAGCCATTCATTCATGGAGAATAGCAAGTATTCTGTAAATATTCAATGATTTCTGAAATTCGACCTATAACTGACCTTCTCAGTCACTGTCTTAATGCTGCTTCTTTTTACCTTTCCTTTCTTCCACTGTTGTATTTGTTGGTGTTACTTATTAAATCAGAATTCTTCCCCTTTCTGCTGCTTTCCTATTTTGTTCTGAACTTTTCCTAATTGAGACTCTATATTTAATTGAAAGTTGCAAACACCAGAGAACAGTTTTCATGTTGATCTTCTGCGTTTTTTGTTTTCTCTCACTTTGTTTCTAAATTTCTGGTGCAATGTTCAGGAACTGAGCAAATGGATCTGAAAACACTGGTCAGCACATTACAGGCTTTCATTGAAGGGTCTACTCTGGGAGAGTTTCATGCACGACTCCAGTTACTGTTGGTTTTCCACTGCCACATCTTGCTGATGCCTCAAGTAGCAGAAAAGGGTAAGTTGTTATAATTATCTGTACAGCAATCTCGCCATCAGGTGTTCCAGACTTTTCAAACAGGTCACTAAACTCATAAATAGAACACAAGCCTATGGGGCTGTTTTACTGTTTTCCTGTTGGTCAGTTTACCCCATCCTTTGGTGTTGATAAGCTTCCAAAAAGAACTGGGGTGTGTTTATTGTAATGACACTGAAAAATGTTGTCTTGTAAAAGAAGGATGATGATGATGATGATAATTATTATTATTATTGTTATTATCTGTCCCTTCTCCCTTCTAGATGTTCTGTGCAGCATCCTGTGGAATCTATACAATTACTATAAGCAGTTTTCAGAGTGTGTTGAGGCCAAAATCACTGAACTTCGTCAGCCCATAGAAAAGGAGCTTAAGGTAAAAGGAAACTTGGCTCAGACAGTGTATTGGTCTAATCAAAGGAACAGTGGAGCAGATATTGTTGGAATTTGTCCATTGTCGTTCTGTTGGCCACTGAAGTCCCTACTAAGCATTTTCTTTGGCAAGAATTAATTCTTGAGGTGGGGGAAGGATTGATTGAAAGCTTTAATGTTTGATCAGTCCCATTTATCTGTGAAGATTTCTATCCAGAGGCGAAGCCCCTGTGGGTTTCCTAACATCTGGCTATGCAGGAGATTTTATGCAGTGCAAATATATATGTTAATAAGAATAAGATGCCTGTGCAATTATTCACTCACTTACTAAAATGTTTTCCATTTTAAGGCTACCAGATCATCATAGCTGATTAGGTTTAAAGGTCGATCATCTTTGATGTGGAAATACTTCATTTCATTTACATAAGTAATCCCATTGATTATTTATTTTCCTAATAGGAATTTGTGAAGATTTCCAGGTGGAATGATGTCAGCTTCTGGGCTATAAAGCAATCAGTTGAGAAAATACGGAGGTAAGTCAGAACTTAAAATTAAGCTCCCTTTTTTGAAACCTTCCTTCTAGATGATTTCTCTATGATGTTACATTTGAATGCAGAAATGTTTCTTCTGCTCATAACACAGTGAAAACATTTATGTCCAGCAACTGAGAGATTTCCAGGATTACAAAACCCAGTAACTTTTTTGCTTTTATTTTATAATTAGAACTCTCTTTAAATTCATGAAGAAGTTTGAAATTGTTCTGGATGAGCCATGTCGGCCTGCCTTGGTGGAAATCGGTAAGGAAGAGCAGCTGGACTGCATGCAAAAGCAAGAAGAATCTGACGACCAAGAAACCAAAATTCAGAGGCTAAACAACACATTAAGAAAGGTTCTGTCTGCTAGAACAGATGTTACCAAGGTGACTGAATTAGTTATTTTAAGTGTGCGAAGAGCAGTTTTTCTGTTCTCGTCTATATGTTACTTTTCACTGATTTATGCAGGAAAATCTTATGTAAGTGTCAAATCTGTTGAATATATCATAAACTTTTTTGGTCTTACTTGTGTTCAGTGTTATGCAACACTGCAGATGGGTGGGAATGCAGCATGGAATGACAAGCATGGTCTGTACTGATCTGGCACTATATCTGTGCTGTAATATAGACATGAGGCAATTACACATTTCATCTCCAATTTGCTTATATATTGTCTGCAGATATTTATTACTTCCCTACTAGTGACGTAAAATAGCTTGGGAGTTGAAATTATTATTGTGCATTTTTTTTGTAAGCAAAGGCCCAAACAAATAATGATGTAGCTGTAGGATTTGTGTGTATATAAGCTCTGATTAAATATTAAATCACTTTCGGCTTGGATACAGGTAGGGGAATGCACTACATTGTCATATGTTTGCTGTTGACTGACTGTGGACTGTGAACATTTGCCTTGGACAAGCTGATGCTTGGTAAATCCTGCTCCACAGTCTCAGTTCAATATGTCTCCAATTAATTTGCCCAGCTCAGAGAGGAAGTCAGCTAATTTTCTTCCTGAAGGTGATTCCTATTCATATCATTAGTTTTTATTAACAACATGCAAGGAGACAATCATAACTCATCAGAATTTGGTGGTGAGTGGGAAATGCTGAGTTACCCTCAGCTTTGTTACTTTCTTCAGACCAGGAGCAGGGCTGATCCTGATCATGTTCTGTACAGGAGGGGTAGAGTGAGGAGGCAGAAATCTAATGCAAATCTAATGTGTTTGATTGATCGAGGGTTTGATTTGTTGATCGGTGATTTGTAAGCATGTTGTGATAGTTAACAGGGTTATTGGTTTCACTTCTTGCAGTTCCATGTTGTCTTCATTCCTTAAAGAAGATGCGTGCAAACATAAACTGAACCAAAAAAATAAATTGAAAAGTTTTGCATATGCTGAGGAATTAATTCCGTTATTTAATAACTTGTATTTGCACAGTTTTTGTTGTTCTTTAAGAACAAAATTCATGTCTAGAGGAAAGTTAAGTGAGGGTGTTCTTACCTGACACCCTGGGACATTAGTGATTTAGGTGAATGCCTTTAGACTTCGAAGGCAGGGGAAGCTGACCTGAAACAGTGATTGCCTTTTTCATAGAGGTAATGACTAACACCTAAGACAGTAAGATCATAGCATCTTTCATTCACTTGACTGTTTTCAAAACTAATGTCTGCCTGACATATGTGTGCTATGATTTTGCTCAAGTGTTGGTGCTGAACAGATGAAAGAATCACATGAACATGTTTTGGGGTTTCAGATGAATGCAAAATTTAGCCCTTTTTTTAAAGTTATTTACTCCTAGTGATCAAATGAGAGTTTTGAATATATGTGTATAATTTTCTTTCATTTTTTTCCAGAGGGCACTCCCAGAATGTCAGGGTGTCATTACATTTCATACACAATCTCTTCAGTATCGTCTGTCTAAACTGACGAAAAAAATGAAGAAAATGTGTACAACAGTTACAGAACATAATTCATTCATTAACCTGGTGGAAAATCTCGACCAGTTCACAGGTTAGATTTTCTTGTTATTTCCATACCACAATTGACCTCTATAACGTAAATGGAATAAATCAGGAAAACCTGCAGATACATAGTTGTCTTCCTAGAGTGTCTCCCCGCAGCTGCTTTGCATACATTATATTTTCAATCTCATACCTTTGCCTGCTGTCTTCTATACAGGTGGTATTATTGTTTCTGTAGCTGAACTGCAAAATTTAACATTTGATCAGACAGCAACTAAGGAGAAGCAGAAATCAGAGGCAAAGCATATTCAGATGCAGAAGCAACGGGCTTTGTCAGATCTCTTTAAAAGCCTCGCTAAAACAGGTGAGCTTCGACTTGGTTCAAAAGTACAGAGTTCTTGAGAATTTTACTGTCTTTGCCAATATATCTAAATCCACCGTGATATGATGTAAGGTAACACCTTTACCTCCCTCATTCATCAGTCTTTTCATGTCTTAAAAATGATCCCTAACTCAGCTTTTTTAAAAGGACATGGGGCAGTGAAAAGTCCTTAATGTACACAGGTCTGTGTTAGTCTTCTTTCAGCTGTGTTGTGTAGCTGAGATAGCTCAGCTACAATGTGTTCTTACTTTAAAAAACTTGTAGCGTGTTCAAAGACTTGTTGAAATCAGAACATTTGATGTCTTACTGTATGAGTGACATTTTCATATAAAAAAATGATGGTATCAATGGATGTGTGCTGAAACACCATTCCAGGTTTGTCCTACCGGAAAGGTCTGGCTTGGTCCCGTTCAGAAGATTACCAGGAAGTTCTCTACCTTCGTCCCCTGGACTTGGGTAGTGCATTGGCTGCAATGAATTGCTCACATGAACTGGATGCCACGTATGTACACAGGACTTTTTACCCTCAGATTGTGTGAATTGTAGCTGTAATGTATCGAATTTATGTGTTGATTTACACTGGGATTTCTTGACAGTCCAGTTAATATAGGATTTTGCATATTCCCTTCCTTCCGTTACTTCTCAGTTTGGTATGTACAGCTGAGCAAGGATTTGGGGGGTTTTTAATTTCATTTTTTTTCTAAATTTGCACTTTAACAACTATACCCTCAGTTTCATTCTTTCCATAAATTAGATTTCAATTATCCCTCCACTGTCCAGCCTTGCCTGGGATGCTTTGCTAGCTGTATATTAGAGTATAAACTGCTAATGATTTTATTGAAGGTGAGCTGTGATTTTCAGGGATTACTTCTTTTTGTCTTCATTAAATAATGGGATATTTCAGGAGAAAAATACATATACTTCAAAATGGGCATTACTGGAAAAGCTTTCTTAGGGGAAAGATGTTTTTTCAGATTTTTTTTTTAAATGTTTTTCTGTCAACAAGTGCTTTTTTGTCATTGAGACATGCTGGTTATTGTCCTTCTGGGATGTAAGCATTTAGTTTATGCATCAGGGTAAAAAAAAAGACTTCTGTATAAAGCTGGATTTAGCTGCATGGGGGAAAGAAAAACACTATCACTATTAAAGCTCTAAATAGTATTCAAAGATAGAGATCTCGCTGCTGTTGCTTAGGGTTTCATTAGAATTTATTTTTAAAATTAAATGTTTTCTTACTACTAGAATATTTTTAGAGAAAATGAAGAATTGTAAGATCAATCCATTTTCAAAAAAACAAATTTCAGTCAAAACTGTTGGGTTGAAGAGCTGACCTGGTCCTCCAGCATGCTGAGGTACTTTTTAATACCATACTACTTTGTGCTCTGCCAGGTTGCTGACAGAGATTTCCTCAGCCTGGGATGGATGCCAGAAATATTTCTATCGGTCACTTGCACGTCACTCTCGGCTCCAGACAGCAATGTTAGCACCTGCCAAGGTAACACCAGCAAAGTAAAACCAGGATCTTTCTTCTGTTAACCTCATTGTACCAGCTTGGACTGAAGTTTCCTAGTAGTAAGAAGGTGATGGGAGATATGTTGTGTAATATGATACTAAATATGATATTTGGTACCACTCATTAAATGCAGCATGTTAAAACCTGCTGTTTTATAAAGGGACAAAATTGGTTTAGGGAAAGAAGTTTAGGATCTGTTCAATATACAGTATGTTTCATCCCAGCAGAACCCTAATTGCTACTTTTTGTGCATGAAGAGACACACGAAATGCTGAATCCAAACTTGTAAGGAAAATGAACCCAATATTATTCAGTGTTCTTGAGGAAATCAGTCGATATTTATAATTGGGCATAACTGGAGTCTGTGTCCAACACAAGAAGTATTAATATATTTCTTCCTTTTAAGATTGGTCTAAAACCAGTAAAACAGACAAACGAGCTCTGCCAAACCAGAACCACTTTTCCAGCATTTCAGGGAAAAAGAGGAGCTGTTTTTCCAGATGTTCTTCCTCTTACTATGTTTTTCCCCTTGTTTTACAAAGTGATCTTATCAAGGTCACATCTGATACTGAATACAAATAGTGGAACGTGACTGTGATCAGTTACACTCTGTGTTATAACCATTTATTCTGAGCTTTAAGATGTGACCACTTCTAATAAAAGGAGTGCAAGTAATTGTCACTGTATCTGGTAAAATGAATGGTTGTAGCATTGGTCATGAATGTAAAGCATTTAGGCTGGTATCTCTTCAGGTTTTAATCATTATTTGTATAAGGTAGATTTAATAACAAATTCCTGATGAGAATTGCTACAGTGGAATGAAATGTAATGTAACTGTTGCAGAAGTTACCTGAAAGGCAAATTTGTATGCAGGATATATGGAAGATGCAGAAAAGATGAAGATGGGGAAGCTGTAATAATTGTAACTCTAGTCTGCATATTAAGACTTGTCCAATTAAGCCATAATCTTTCATCTTGCTCAATGAAATGGAGGCACAGAGGTGCTGTTGTCTCGTTGTTATCTGACTGTTCCCTCCCACTTTTTCTGTCTGTTTTGTTTAGGATATTGGACTAGGTAGCATTGAACGATGCAAAGGGTTCACTGCACACCTCTTGCAGATGCTTGTGAGACAGAGACGATCTCTTACTGCATTGACAGAACAGTGGATCTTACTCAGGTATTTTCTGTCTTCCAACGTTCAAATGTTGGCAAGAAGTTTTGACAGTAACCAAATGAGTTCAGGAAAGATGGAAAATAAGGTAGAAGAAAATAACAGCTTTTTCCTCTGCTTCCCTTTATTTCTCCTCTCTTCAATTAAGCCTAGATTGAAAAGATTCAAAATTACCCTATCACTGCAGCCAGTATTTAGGAATTAAAATAATTTTGTAAAACAAGTGAGGCATATATGTGAAATAATTTCTGTAGTTAATTACATAGTTAAACCATTAAACTTACAGATTGTTATATCTCTTTCATTTGGTATTGGTCTAAGTCAATTTTGTTTACATTCAAGTTGTTGGCTTCACCTGGGGCAATTAAATGATCTAAGTGGTAATTGAGCCAAAATAAATAAAGCATCAACAGCTTACAAAGAAAAATTCTAAAAATTCCAGGGCATACTCGATGTTGTGTCAAAACTGTAAAAGCAAAAATATATAAGAATCTTTCTTACTTGATGTGACTTTTCATTTCATTGCTTGAGTCATTGGAGTCATTGCAAATGCCACCTTTCTTGAGCATATTTGTGCTCAACACTCTGTAGTCCATAAAACTTTTAGAAGTCAGGTTAGGAGCTAGTACCTTTGTACAGAGAAGGAATTCTGGACTGGATATTACTGGTGCAAAATTTATTCCAGCCCCTGAAAACTTGAAAAAAAACAAACCAGAAAACCCCAACTAAACAAACTACTCAGCTTTACAGTCACAGGAATAGTAAAGCCTTAAGGACACTTATCTGCATTACTATGACTTTCATAGCAAATCAGATTTCAAGGGCTTTGTAGTATTTCATAATTCAGGGAGGGAAAAAAATCACTAATTAAAACAACTTTTTTTTTAAAAAAAAACGTATTGTTTTACCCTTTCCATGAGAAGCTGTTATCTAGATTTTTTTAAAAAAATAATTTAGTTAAAGGTAGGGCTTTAAAAAAGGAAGTCCAACATAAAATTCAGTGATTATAACTTCTCTTTCTTCTTTCTTAACTAGGAATCTCCTGAGCTGTATACAAGAGATAGATTCTAGGTTGACTGCTGAGGGAGAATACAGTGCAGCATTTCCTCCTCAAGACAGTGTTCAACAGTGGACAGACAGACTGCAGCAACTTTCCATGCAGTGTGTGATGGTTCTCCAGGAGCTGTCTTGGTTTATCCAGTGCTGCCCAAAAGAAGAGTCAGCCGGGTGCAATGACAGTGAAAGGACTGATGTCAAACCCAACATTCCTCAGAGTTCAGTGCCTGAAATGGGAAATGTTCTTGTGGGAGTACCTGACCTGATTCCCTCAGATCTAAAGCACTTGTCTCCAGTAACAGTTGAGCGATTGCCGCCTGGATGCAGGATGCGAAATAAGGATCAGTTGTGGCTGCAGGTAGCTACACAATTGACTGCAATGATGGCAAATGTCAAGGCCGTGAAAGCAGAAGTGGACAGAGTAAGACAACAGTCACGTGAGACCTCCTTTTATTCCTGGTGAGTTCTGCACATGAAATCTCCTCTGTTTCGTGTTCACATAATACGTGTGAAGTAATTTTGAAAATTTTCGCCTACACATATATTAAAAAGTGGGTTCAAATACTCGTCAAATGGTTTTACGTTCATTTTTTTTGCAAAAGGCAGTGCCTGACTACTTAAAGATTTGTGTGTCTTCTCCCACTCCTGACAAGTGAAAAGAATTTCTGTCTCAGCTTCCCACTTTGTCTTTGGTCTCTCAGGATTTTATCCCCATAGCTCCTTAGCTAATAAGGTGAATTTAAAATACAAATTTAATGAAGAAATTTTCACTTTAAAAGACATTTGTAGCCTATTTAATAACAACCTTTGAATTTTCTCTCTGCTTCAAACAGTGTGAGTATAAGCTTGTTGTCAAACTTTTTATTTAATAAATTCAGGATGGAGATATACTGCCTCTCCTTTATCCATGCCCAAGAAAAGTTTTAATCTTAAATTGGACTATTGGGCTGTTTGTTCTTCTTTCAGTATTATGGTATTTCTGTTGCAGGAGAGACTTTGAAGTTTGCACATCAGCTGTGAGTTGTTTGCTGGAAGTCTCAGCCCAGTTACAAAGCATAGAGTCCCTGTTTCTTCCAAATGGGCAAGACAGGGAAGCTGCAAATCAGATGGCCCTAATCAAGAGCCTAAAGTACATACAAGAAGAAGTTAATAACACATCTTCAGACTTCACAGCCTGGAGAGCACAGCTGCTTGCTTCTGTGTCCGATTGCAGTGGTATGGATAATTTTTCTCTACCTGATTTGTAATGTTGGTAAAGACATAAGAACTTATTAGTTTGGTTTTTGCTGAAGGTGGTCCCATTTTCCTTCTGATATCCAAAAACTTCATTAAATTAAAACTTGCAAAATTTAGTCCTGACTTTATTTGTGCAGTATAATTTTTTTAGCATCTCTATTAGTGACGTGTCTTGTACCATAGTTGTAGGTCAGGGTTAGCAAGGAGATTTTGGTAGAACTGTGTAGTAAAAGTTGCATAGTGCTGTCATTGCCCTTGCATAAAGGAAACATAGGAACCTGTAATCTGATGTGTTTCCATGTAAAACTGCCTGTGTTAAGGTTCAAAAGGAAATCAACAGTCGGATGAAGAGTTTGTGGAGCAATTCTCAACGAAAGTGGAAACTGTTATCCGTGCTGTTCTGTATGCTGTGCAGTGTTTGGTAGAGAGAAAACAGGAAGGTGGAAAAGAGGAAGAAAAGTCTTCAGAGGAAAATGGTAAGTTTACCAATATAACTGATTGGGGAGCAGAAGAGTTTAAACCGTGCAAACCTTAAAATTTCTTAAATAGTGTATGTCAGAAGTACCAATACACAAGGAAATTGCTGTTTTAATAGAAATTGTATATTTAAGCAGAGAGGGGTGGATATTTCTAGATTGCTTGCTATAACATTTTTAGCATGTCTGACTTGATCTCCATTTTTTAAATGTGTTTGAAACAAAGAGGATGCAGCCTTCCTTGATGTGATTAAAGCTGGACATATAACTAAGCTTTTGGATGAAGATCTGTCTGCTGATTTGGAGTCTTTACATGTGCAGAAGGCAATTTTAGGTGTTTCAGAACTCCTGGACCTCCTGAAATCTTACAGGGAAGACTGCACTTCATATAAACATAAGGTAGAATTTTTCTTTTCATGAGTTTTTTGGCTTAGGAGTCTTGAGAGATTTGGAATTGTGAACTACTCTGGTGGTTAAACGTGCATTGCTTCTTCTTGCCCAGTGCCATAGAACTATAGAAGCACGTGAGAAATTGTGGACAAATAAAGGTAATCTGTAGTGCAAAAGCCAGATGTTCTTGCAGTAAGAAGACAAAGCTTTAGTTTTTGTGAAAAATCTAGAAGAAGCTCCAGAAATGCTAGAAATTGTACTTAAACTCATCTGCTGATATTTCTGCTTTGAGCATCTGTTTTCAGTCACTGTCATGACCCTCTCTGAGGTGCATGTCAGTAAGTACAAATAATGACTGACAGCTGTTTTTTGTTTTAACTGTAGTTCTTCAACCAGTCCTGCTATTTGCTGGTGCGTCTAAAGCCCATGCTCTGCAAGTATTCAGACCTCATCCTGTTCTACTTCACCATTTCACTGGCATCTCACAGGAGTACTGGAAAACTGCTTTCTGTTCTAACCAGCATTTTTACAGAGCTTGCTCTAAAGGTAAGTTATTAGAGGTAACAGTGGATATATGGCAAGCATATATTTAATGTGTAAATTCTTGAGTAGAAACTAAGCTGAAAAATTACTTACTACTGAGGAAGATTTTGAGTTTCTGTTCGCCTTTGCAGGGGTTTTGTCTGCCAAAAGAATTACTTGAAGATGAAGCAGGAGAGGGAGCAACAGAGTTCCATGACTATGAGGGTGGCGGTATTGGAGAAGGGGAAGGCAAGAAGGATGTGAGCGACAAAATAGAAAGTGAAGATCAGGCAAGTGTTTGGGATTAATCTTGTTTAATTGAAGTGAAACTGAAAAAGCTCTTGAAATCCATGATGTAGATGTCTTGGGTAAAAAGAAACACGAAGTTACCTTCGGTGTCTTATTTATGTTGGCTTTTATCTTTGCCTCTCAGCTTATAAATATTGTTTGGATACTTAAGCTTTTAATATTTAGGCAAGATCCATTGTAATTTTTTGCTTTACCATTGATTTATAGATAGAAGACAGTTTCCAAAAAGGTCAAGAGAAGGAGAAAGAGGATCAAGATTCTAAACCAGACATTGAAGGAGAAGACAATGCAATTGAAATGTCTGAAGACTTTGAAGGAAAGATGCACGACGGAGAAAGGGAGGAAAAAGGTTTGGTTCTTCCACTATGGCAATCTTATAAGAAAAGTTATAGATCAGTCCAGTAATGGTTGATGATTTCCTATACCATGTGCATGTGTGTCTTTTTCAGCATGTATCAATTAACTGAATGGGGTGATGAAATTAAGGGTCAAACTATGATTGCTTATTTGCTTCTAAAGTTAACAAAAACATTATCTTTCTCTCTTCTGTACTAAAACACATTCTGAACTGTACACAGAAGATGAGGAAAATTCAGATGAAGAGGAGGAACTGGATAAGCAGATGGGCAATCTTGATAATGCTGAAGCTGATGAGAAATTAGATGAAAGGCTCTGGGGGGATGAAGATGATGATGATGATGATGAAGATGCTAGTAGTAAAACAGAAGAAACTGGACCAGGAATGGATGAGGTAATAAAGAACGGGGTGGGGGGGAAAAAAAGTATCAAAGGAATTGAACTGCAACTTAATGTGACCTAGAATGGGAATTGCCTCTCCTAGCTCTTTGCCTTAGAAAGGGATAATTTCAGGGAGTAAATTTTATTGAATGTTGTCTTGTTTTTTCTGTAGGAGGTGATGTCGCTGAGATGTTGAAAAATGGGTAATGTAATAGAGTTTCTTTTTGATTTATTAATAGGAGGATTCAGAGCTTGTTGCAAAAGATGACAATCTGGGGACAGGAAACAAGGATAATAAAAAACAGCCTCCCAAGAATGAGGAAAAAGAGCAACAGGAAGAGGAGAGTGGAAATAAAGAGAAAATCCATGAACAAATTGATGAGGTAAAAATTGTTTGGACTATATGAACTACCTTGCTGTTAAACCACATTCTGTAGCTTATACTGTGTGTCTCTGAGAATTTGAAATGCTTTTTTTTTTTAATGTGAAGCACCCTGAAAACGTTAGTTCATTTCAGAGCTGAAAGTATCCATTATAATACCCATTTATTTTCTGATTCATATTCCAGAAAGGATTTTTTTGCAGTACCCTCAACTTTTAATGGCTGCCAAAACAGGCTTTACACTGAATTGATGTTTTGATGGACAAAGCTTTAAAACTCTAATTCTGTTGTGTTTAGCAACAGAAACACCTTAGTATGCAGGAGTACATTTAGCATCTCCAAGAGTGCATATTGTTTTCAGAATGCTTCAGCTAGGAAAATTGGCTTTTGAACACAAAACATGCTGGCTTTAAGTACCACCAATTTATGTAAATGCATCTGCTGAAACTGATCTTTCTGCTCTTCATGCAGGAGTATGTGTATCACTAGACATCCACTTTTAACTGATCAGAATGTAATATTGTATCCAGCACTTCTTTGTCCTAGAAAATACAGTAGTATCTTGTTTCTCATCTTTGCCTATCCTCCCACTTAGTCCATGCCTGTTAATATTTCCCCCATTCTTTTGCTGACAGCGTGAGTATGATGAGAATGAAGTAGATCCTTATCATGGCCAGCAAGAAAAGGAGCCTGAAGTTGAACCTTTGGACCTGCCTGATAATTTGAATCTGGAGAGTAATGAGAAGAGTGATGATGAGGAGGATGAAGGTACAGCAGAAAATTCTACAGATTCCTAGAAGAAAGCCACATGGAAGTGGGGGGGTCAATCAGATCATGAGCCCTTTTTGTCTATAGAAAGGAGAGAGATGGTGATAGGAGTCTGTATAACCACCCAGAAGCTGCAAATTCATTTGTGTATCAATGTACCAAATGCAGACCAGACAAGAAGTCAGCATTACCTTTTCCTTTACCTCCCTTTCATGAACACTGCAGCATGCTTTCTCATGTTATTCAAGTGATACAGCCTAACTTATGCTGGAATCTCCTTATTTGATTGTCCAGTTGCTTTTGTGGTTTCATTTTTTTTCCTATTATACTTTCAAATATTTGTACTCTTAAAAGTCTACTGACCCTCAGGACTATTAGGTTAAAGGAAGTTAATAGGAATTCATCCTGCTGTACTGCTAGCTGGAAATCAATTGTGATTTAAAGGAATTAACTGGCTATAGAAAAAACAGATTCTGTGTATAGAACTCAGAATCTGTTTTTTCTATAGGCTGGGCAGTTTTATTCCAAATATCTGTAATATTCACTGCCTCTGTACTTCACTGAAAGTTTTATATACCTTTCTTTTTTTTTTTAATCCAGAAGAAGAGAATGATTTTGAAATAGATGAGAAACCTGTGGATTTAAATGAGGCAGAGAAGACAGAAGAACAGAATGAAGAGGATACTGCTGAGACAGAAAGAGATGATCAAGATGCAAAAACAGCTGAAGAAGGCATTTCTGAAGATAAAGAGGAGAAGGAAGATGAAGGAGACAAAGATGCTCATGATCAAGAACAAAAGGCAGAGAATACTGAGGATGCAGAAGAAGAAGAGGAAGAGTCACAACAACCTGATGAGAAAAAAAATGAATCTGCTGAAGATAAGGGAATCCCTAATGAAGACCAAGGCCTTCAACCTCAGGTACAGTATAAATAAATGGAAGAGTGATTTTCTTTTTTTTTAATTGCCTTATACAAGATTTAGGAAATTGATGTCCTCTGTGATACTCCAAAATAGATTTGACATTTAATAGATACAACGTTAGTGAGAGTCTTCATCAAGATAACAAGAGCTATGCTTATTGAACATGTGTTTCTGCTATCTGTGTTCCTGCTGCCTCCTCGGTCTTGTGTTAGAATGAATAGAACAGATTATTTGAGTTGGAAGGGACCTACAGTGATCATCTAGTCCACTTGCCTGACCACTTCAGGGCTGACCAAAAATATATTATTAAGCACATTGTCCAAATGCCACTTAAATACTGAGAGCTTTGGGGCATTGACCACCTCTCTAGGAAGCCTGTTCCAGTGTTTGACCCCCCCCTCAATGTGATACTAGAGTCCTAATGACCCTTCCCAAGCATCCTATCACTGGGTACCAGGGAGAAGACATCAGCACCTCTCTCTGTGTCCCTTCTTGAGGAAGTTGTCGAGAGCAATGGGACTACTCCTCAGCCGCCTTCTCCAAACTAGACAAGCCCAAAATCCTTAGCCACTCTTTATAGGGCATTGCTTCCAGCCCTTGCACCACCTTTGCTGCCCTCCTCTGGACACATTCAAGGACCTTCACGTCTTTTTGAATTTGTGGGGCCCAGAACTGCACACAGCACTCAGGTGAAGCTGCACCAATGCTCAAGGCAGTGGATTCACCACCTCTTTTGTCCAGCTGGTGTTTCTGTTTGATGCACTCCAGGAAAGGGATTGCCCTCTGGGCTGTCAGGGCTCAGTGCTCACTGACACAGCCTGCTGTGGACCAGTATCCCCAGATCCCTTTGCAGGGTTGCTCTCCAACCATTCCTCTTTCCAGTCTATACTTAGCCCAGTATTACTCTGCCCTCAGTGCAGAATCCAGCATTTGGACCTGTTAAATTTCATCCCCTTAATCATAGTCTAGAGCCCCAATCTATCTAAATCCCTTTGTAAGGGGCCTTCTGTCCTTCAAGAGAGCCCACAGCACCTCCCAGTTTGTATCAGCAAACTTGCTAATGGAGCATTAAACTCCTGCATCCAGATCATTGATAAATACATTAAACAGGACTAGTCCTGGAGCTGAACCCTGAGGAACAGCACTGGTGACTGTCACCAGGTGAAGCCCCATTTACTACAACTATTTGAGCCCTGGAACCCACCCAGCACACTGTGAATCCACTCATCCCACAGCTGGACAGCTTGTCCAGAAGGATGCTGTGAGGGACACTACCAAAAGCCTTACTAAAAATCCAGAAAAACTACATCCACTGCCTTCCCTTCAACTACTAGGCCAGTGACCTCATCATAGAAGAGGTATCCAGTCAAATAGGCCTTTCCCTTTGTTAACCTGTCCTGACTATGTCTGATAACTGTATTTGTCTTTCAGTGCCTTCCAATAACATACAGTTATCAATGTTTTTTAGAATGTTAAAATAATCTGATGTTATTTCAGGAAGAGGAGGATGAAGATAATTCAGAGACGGATGAACAAATCCCTGAGGCTGAGGAAAGAATGGAGCATGAAACACAAGGGCAGACTGGGCAAGAAAATCTGCAGAGTGACAGTGCTGTTGAGCTGGCTGGAGAGGCTTCAGAAAAAGACCAGTCTAAAGAGGTAAATTATGTGGAAGTGTCTGAGTTAAAAATGCTAAATTTGTGAATATATTTTCAAGTTGAAATCAGGGAACTGCTGCCATAGTTTTTGAGAACTGTGCAAAACGTTAGTTTATACCAGTTATAAATTCACTGAAAAAAAACTTAAAAACCTGGTAGATACCCTGCATTTTACACTGCTCTAAAGGTAAGTTTAGGGTAATTGATGAACTGTAGAAGTGGCTTGTCTGCTCTCCATAAGAATTATACTTGCAGTTATCAGCCACTGGTCATTCTGAACAGAATGTAGCAAAGCACTGCGGTTTAACATCTGGAGTGTGTTTACAGTAGTTTCTATTTTCAGTTACACTTGAAATTTATTTTTTTTTTCTTTCAGGAAAGTGGAACTGGAGCTTCAAGTGCAAATCAGTCAGAAGGCCATGAATCTACACGCATGGCCCGGATGGCTTCTCAGAAGCAAAGCAGAAAAAACACACAGGTTCATCTCTTCTTTTAAATTTTTGTTTAAATATCTAAATATTAACTAGCATATAGGCAGGACTCGGTTTCTCCTTGTTAGAACACTGTTCTCATTAGTGATGGGTTACACCTCTGTTGAAGTTCATGGTGTTAATTCGTTCCTTTTCAGAGTTTCAAGAGGAAACCTGGCCAGGCAGACAATGAGCGCTCGATGGGAGATCACAATGAACACATCCACAAGCGATTGAGAACCATGGAATCCAGCAGTGAAGCAAAGCAGGATACAACTCAGCCTAAACAAAACGCAGAGGAGGCTGATGCATTTGAACATATTAAACAAGGCTCTGAACACTATGATGCACAGACATATGGTACAGTGGTATTTCTGGGTGTTAAGAGTTGTCATTGCAGAATCAAATCCTGAAACATTCGTATTTGCTGTAGCTTTCCCTGTTTGCTTTTTAAAGTTACATTTAACAATCCTTGCATTGGTTAAAGGTGCCGCACCATTTCACTACAATAAATGCTACTCTTTGGCACTCAGATTCAAACTAATAACACTTCTGAAAATACTGATTTGACTTACAAATATTGGATTTTATATTAATAAATATCTTTACAATCTATTCTGTTCAGCTAATCAGGGCAATAGCTTACTGACATAACACAGCACAGTGGAGTGAAAGATAAAATAGGGGTTTGAGCCTCAGATACCTTCTAAGTTCACTGTAATTGATGTGAAGTGGCATCAGACTGCAACATTTTTTTAAACTTGACTACTTCTCCTTCCACTTTCCTCTTGACAAGTACTGTTGTCTTTGTGCAGATGTAGCTAGCAAGGAGCAAGAGAAACCGTTTATGCCTCCTGAAGAAAAGGAAGAAGTAGACTCTGAAGATGCAGCAATGGAAACAGAAATGCAGGACGAGGATCTCAGGGCAGTAGACACTGAAGAGCTGAAGCCAGAAAAAAAGAAGTCTACTGCCACTAAACCTCCTGGTACATTAACTTAAAAAGCATTCTAAATACATGCTGATATGGATCTTTAGATGTATATGTAGGTATTTAGATTTGCATGTAGTGGATATTTTTCATAAGGCTAAATTAAATGCCTGATCCAAATTGATTCCTCTGCAGCAGTATTCTTACTTTTGCCTAATAACCAGCATTAGCCTTTGCTAAACTGATTGAGTGACAGAGGGGTTTGCTGCTTTCTTTCAAGTTAATGGTCTCTAATCTTTATCCACCACTTTGAAGAAATAAAAAGCAAACACTTCCCTGCTGTTCAACACAGTGCCAATTCACTTAATTAATTGGCATTTAGCAGTGCATTCCAGTGTCACCACCATCAGCACCACGTAGCTCAACTGTTTTATGTATAACTAACTTCTGGCAGAAAAACAAACCAGCAAGAAGTAGAGGAGCTGGTCTGAACAACTCTGGTGAGGTAGCACCAAACTCACTGCCTTCCTTCTTAAATGGGAACAGAACTGAGCAGCTGACAGAAGTAGTTGGTAGAGAAGATAAGTCTGACTTGTCAGCCACACATGACCCGACCCCCCCCAAAAAATAGATAGATACTTGCCAATTGCAACAGAAATAGTAATTTTGATGAATCTAAGTAGATGACACCATAGCTTGGAATTTTGAAGAATTTTCTTCTTGAACAACGCAAAGCACAGCTGGAGAGGGGAGACGAGTTTTACAGGCCTACATTCTTGCCTCCCACTCCCTTGAGCTTTAATCACTTAAATCTCTTGCTAGACTCTTTATTTATGGTACAGGTGTGCATGTAATCAGTCTACTTGTTTTTCCACATGATTCGCCAACTGTATGTTCTGAAAAACTAGTCCTCAAAACATGTCCTACAATGTCATTCTTCTCCTTTAGAATAATTCTTAAGAAATTAGTTGTTAAACAGTGTAGTACAGTAGAAACAGTAATAAAACAAACTCTCTAATCCATTCCTTAATTTGCAAATTGATTTTTTGATTTATAGGAAAAAAATTAGAGAATAACAGATGAGCAAAGATTACCATTTTTTAATTATGATTTTCTGACTCTTCTCAAATAACTTTATACCTCCTATTGTTCTGTCACAGAGGCTATGAGAGTCAATAAATGTACTTCATCAGTGAAATTGTCAGGTGTTAAAGGTTTGTTAACTATTACTTTGTTTGGCAAGAAGTTTACAAGACAGAAAAACAATTTGCATTAGGAAATGCATGGTTTTCTGTTCTAGTGAGTTGCAAGATGTATTCATCCCATTTCTAGAATTAAATGTCTTAAAATTTGGCACTTCTTTTAAAAGAAAATAACAGCTGCATTACAAAGCATATGAGATGCTCTGTGAAAGAGTCAAGATACAATATTGCTTCTTTTACTGTGTGGTCCATGAAGTCATTAACCAGTTCTGTGGTTGTAGGACCAGGTGATGTGGAGCCAGAGCTCCAGACTTTTGACTCAGAGGATGTCAATGACTCTGCACCAGAAAAACTACTAAAGGTAACTGAAGAGAAGCCAGAGAGAAGCAAAGACTCGACCATACACACAGCCCACCAGTTTCTGATGGACATTCCCCAGGTAGGATGCCCAGTCTGTCTTCTTTAGCTACAGCAGGAGAAACAGATGGCTTTACTTGACCTGTGTTAATGAAACTATAAATGCAAAAGAATTAGGTTTTTTCAGCCAACTCCGTACCTTGCTATTATTTAATGGCAGAATGAAAAGTAACACACATATACTGTCATGTATGCAGCTGAAAGATGCCTTTAAAATTACTAGTTCTACCCACACTTAGCATGGAATTTTCTCATCTTTTTTTAAAAAGGTTTTGTTTTTCTAACTGTCAAGAATTGTTTTGCTCAGATGAATCTGCAGATCAAATGCTTGGGTAAAGTGGAAAGCAAGGGTCAGGATGTGTGGTCTGAAAATAACAAAAGGGTACATACAGAGTGATGAGAAAACTAGGCATCACTGACTTTAAAACAAAGAATCTGCCTTACTTAATTCATTAAAATATATTACTACTTTTTAAAAGCTGATTGCAGGTATTACAGAACCTTTTTGAGCTTTTTATGAATGTCTCAATTCAAAAAATACCATGGCTCCGTGTAACACTTCCCATTTCCCAGTGCAAACTTCTGGGGAAAAGCACATTTTATCATAAAGACCTATGGCAAAGAAGCAGTTGGTAGTGGATAACCAGGTGATAGAGTAAAAATATTTTCAATATATGGTTGGTTTTTTTTAGAAGGATTGATCTTTCATTCTTACAGTATGGTGTCCTAAGTTCAGCACTTGGAGGGTGCTATTTTACTGTTTGTACACATAACACAGAACGGATTGTGTGCCAGCTACACTGGGTATTTCTGTCCTTAATGCCAAGTGTTGCAGCTTTTTGGAAAAAGGTTACTAAATGTAAGTGTTCTCCTGTTGTCAGAATAATTGTTGCTTTGGGCTTAGTAGGTTTTTTCCAACTGGCACACAAAATGTGAAACAGGAGAGGGAGCTCTTGCAGCACCATTTAAAGGGGAAGGGAAAGAGGCTGGCAGCTTCTCACCTTTCAGCAAAAGGAAGAAGAGAGAAATTCCCTCCACATATGTTCTTTTTCCCTTCCTTAAATGTGCAGTAGGTGGCCAGTGGGATAGCTGCTGCTTCTTGAGGAATGAGAAGTTACTGGGACTATTGAGTCTGGAGTCATGGGCTTATTTTCCTTAGTCTGCAAGCCTGCAGATGATGTGTACCGTGTACTGCTGTTTGGCCAAACTGGGGGTTTGTAAGTGAGGGACAGAGGCTGTCACTGAAAGCACGATGAAAGTAAAAGGAGTGTCATAAAGCTTGGGTGTTCTTTAACATAATGGCTTAGCAAATAATATTTGGTGCCAGGTAAGGAGAATGATGTCATTCAGTCTTGAAGTGGTTTGAAGGAAGCTTGTAAAAAAATATAACTAAGTGAAGTATTTGATGTTTTCAAAGACACTAGTTAGGCGTAGCATTCAATAGTTTTGTCTCCATTATACTGTTGATAAATCTGGTGTTTGTCAAGAGCATTTCATTGATTTATTTGAAATTCTGTATTTTATTGTATTCAATATCAGTATCATAGATGTTCCTAGCTTTGTTTCTATATTGATTAGATCACATATGGAGATATTTGTGGGGAGGTATTTACCCTTCACATATGTGGAAGCTACTAAAAAACATGGAGATTTAGAATCTTCATTTAGGTATTCAGGTATTTTTGTGTTTCTAATGAGAACATGCATTTACACTTTTTTTATAGTTTGCTATACTTTGTAGATCACCAGATGTGTAAACTTACTTTTCTGTCTCATAAAACTCGTAATTTCACTTCTAGCACATCATTAGAGATCCCGAAGAGCTAAGAAAGGAACTTGAAAGGCAATTGGAAGCTTGGCAGACACAACAGCCTGGAACTCCAGAGGAGGTTTGTGACTTCATTTGAATATAAAACTGTCATAAGAATCCTTCATTGCATTATTTCATCTTCTTTTACTTCTAAAACATTGAGGAATCCAAGGAGGCTGGAATCTAAATACTCAAAATCACATTGATACTGTTCTTGTTGTTATGTTTAACTTATCTTGAAAAACATACTACATTATTCTTGAAGCTGGATGTTGTTTCAGATTTTGTTTTGAATGTGGATGCAGGCTGTCATACAAGACACCCTCAGTTTTAGCTGGTTACTGCTTTCCCCTTAGTGCACTTAGGTTTGGTTTCTTTCTTCAGACAGTGCTCTCCATCTTGTTTTGTTTTTCATAATTCACTTTAATTTCTTTGTGTCATGTTGTAGGAGAAGGAGGCAGCACAGCTGTGGCAGAAGTACTTAGTACTGACAGCTCCTCTGTCACAGCAGCTTTGTGAACAGCTGCGACTCATACTGGAACCCACTCAGGCCGCCAAGTTGAAGTAAGTTGGGCCTTTCTGAGACTTCTGATTTCTTTAAACTCATGGGTTTGAGGTGCTTTAACCTCTGTAAAACTGCAGCTTTGTCATTCTTGCATTACAGTAATTATTGCTGTTTGCAAATGCCTTCAATTTCCTTGTATGGGAACATTAGGTTATTTTATGAAATGCAAACATGATATATAGTAGTAGGCACTCACCCTGAGGATATTGCCTGCTATTTTTTTTTCTCCTGTGCAACAGGTGATCAATCAATTTCACCATTTGAAGATAAGTCAAAGATTATGTTAAATGTCAAAATGTTTTACGTTGTTTATAACATTAAATGATTATTTTTTTTAAGAGATACAGACTTGTTTCAAACTGGTGGGATGTAAATTCAAGGCCTGCCTTCCATTTTAGGTACCTAAGATATAAACTTCTTTTAAAAACATTGAATATTCATCTTACATCGAAAATATGGGGGATTTTTTTATCTATAACTAAATATCAGTATTAAAACTACTAATATTGGATTTGTTGTATTTAAAAAAAAATATTTGTTGTATATGCTGCACAGGCCATGGATTTCCACAATGAGATATCTGCTGATAACCCCTGTCACTGTGTCTTTTTTCTCAACTTTCAGAGGAGACTACAGAACTGGGAAGAGACTGAACATGCGCAAAGTGATCCCGTACATTGCCAGTCAGTTCCGAAAAGACAAGATCTGGCTGCGAAGGACCAAGCCCAGTAAACGACAGTATCAGATTTGCCTGGCTATTGATGATTCCTCTAGTATGATTGACAATCACTCCAAACAGGTAAAATAAAACCTTGGGAGAAGTACGGAGAAACCACCTGGCATTGATGTGTATGGCAGTTTCTGACTTGTTTTATATAGGTCTGGTAATTTCTGGAAAGTCTGATCATTCCAAAGCACCTATTTTTCCAGTCCATGTGCTTAAACTCTTGTCACTGCATGCCTAGGGATTTATTAACAAAAGATCAGTGAAAACTAGCTGAAAGGATGAGCTGTTAAGTTTGTTAGAGGTGTACATATCCACTGTAAAGTTACTTCTTGTGGCCTACAAAAGGCTGAAACTTCCTTACCTGACAATTCATTGGAGCACTAAATAGCCATCCATCTTAGCCCACTTGTGAGGTTTGTTGTGACGCACACACAAAAGAGAGAGCACACACACACTTGACTTCAAGTTGGATGAACAGTAAAAGAGAACTTTATTTACGTGAGATGTCTATAGACGTCTAACAATGAGCACGGATTGGACAGTAATGATAAAACTTCTTGACTTCTCTGACTTTATCACCTGTCCTTCAATGTTCGCTTCCTCCAAAGAGGAATGCAAAACAACCTTCTGTTTATCAGAAGAGAGTGTGAGAAAGAGTAACATGAATATGTCAACATCAGAAGGCAAAAACCAAGAGCAACACACTTGTAGGGTTTTTATTAATTAAAATGGTGTATTTTCTTCTGAACAGCTACTTATTTATTTCATTAGCCTGTCTAAAGTCGTGTTTCTAAATCAATCAGCTGAAGCCCTCAAGCAGAACTAGTGTATCTTTATTACACTGACTGTGTTACATAAGACAGGCAGAAAGATAGGCAGTCTCTTAAATTATATTTCTAGATGATGAAAAATAATTTCAGTAACATTCTTCATATTTAATACTGGGCTTTGAGTAAAACTTTGACTATGCTATTTTTGATGCAACATTTTTCTTTAATAGCTTGCATATGAATCCCTGGCAGTTATTGGAAATGCTCTGACTCTTCTAGAAGTGGGACAGATTGCTGTGTGTAGGTGAGTTTATTTGAAATCTTGACTTTCCTTCAGTACTTCAGAGCAGAATGTAAACACCAGTTTCATGCTGTAACTTTCTCTTCTTTTCTAAAGCTTTGGAGAGACTGTTCAGCTGCTGCACCCATTCCACGAGCAGTTCAGTGACCAGTCAGGGACACGGATATTGCGTCTTTGCAAGTTTCAGCAGAAGAAAACAAAAATAGCCCAGGTACACAAGAATGCTTTTAGGGCAACAGTTTGACCAGTCTTTTCCAGACAAGATACCAGCAGCTTCATGGTTTCATGATCACTTTGTAACACTAGTTTTTTGTCTTTGAGAGTCTGGGAGCAGGTTAGATAACAAAGAAATAAAATGGTCATAATTTTGTAATAGGAAGAGTGTTTTCTCAGTTTTTGTTCTGATGTATACCACTTTTAAGCATTCACCTTTCTCTGTATTGGGTCTTAAAAAGTATTTTTGGGTACTGTTGATGTTCTTAATTTTAATGGGGAGTATATGAGACTAGATACTTCTGTTTCAAGTTGAAGCCAAAGAAGTTCAGTCTGGAAATAGGATGTATATTTTCAATTATGCCATTAATCTCATCAGCAGTGTACTGTGTTGATTGCTTTGCTAGCACGGGAAAAAAAATAAGTTCTATTTGAAGGCTCTTTGAAGATTCTTTAGTTCAAAAGTACTTAATAAATTTAAAGCAGGAGTTAGTTAATACAGGAAAATGCGAAGAACTGTATCTGTGTTAGGTGGTCAAGACTGTCTTGGCATTTAAAATAGAGAAAGGTGTTCGTTAGAAATGTTTTCATTTTAAAATTTACTATTTTTATAATGAGATAACTTGAATTTCTTATTTATTTCCTCTGCAGTTTCTAGAATCATCAGCAAATATGTTTGCTGCAGCACAGCAGTTGTCTCAAAATATTAATCCGGGTGAGTTTTCTTGTGTTACTGTGCTTGTTGCCATGGCAGCAGAATGCTCACTACAGTCCCAAAGTAGGATCCTGCCAGGAAGACTCCTAGGACTGAAACATCGCTTGCATTAGGGCTTTGCTTTGTCAAAAGCAATGTTTGGTTGAAATTTAGCTCAAAACCCAAACAACACCTTCTTCATATTTGTCAATAATTCACTAAAATTTTGTGTAAGATTTTTAAAAAGACACACCTTACCTGTCTCCCTTTACCTCCTGCTTGCAGACCGTGCTAAGGATAGATAGTGCCAGCTTGGAGCATTGTCCAGCTTCCTAAGCCCCCTGACTCTCTAGACACTTCTGCTCCTGCTTGAAAGCTTGAGTTCTCTAGGTATCCCGAAGCACACTGCTCTGAGGAGGGAATTTGCCTCCTACCTGCCTTTCACTGTCTTGCTTCTTTAGGTCATGAGGTGCTTGAATTTCTAAGAAAAGCTGGAAGGCTGCTTGCCTGTTGTCTGCCCCATAGTTAGTCTAAAAGATTGCTCTGTGATAGTTAAAAGCTTGTCATGGTAGCACATGTATTTTTTATAAATTCCTGTTGTTGAAGTACTCAAGAACTTGAGAGTCTGGGATTTATAATCCACAGCTGCTTTGCCACAGGGTTGACGGGCTGTCATATTCTGAGGGGATGCAGCAGCAATCAGCTCCTTAGGATTAGGGAGCTGGCAAGAGGAAAGGCTGTAGGATCCATGACCTCTTTGTAAGACAAAGCCCTGTCACATTTGGGGCCTGTCTGCCCAAGTGTGTTCTGCATCCCTCTGTAACAATTAGGGCTTGCATTCCTGACTGTAATTACTGTGATTTTACGTGTAAAGGATTACAGATACATCCCTCTAAAGGTATATTCTAAGTTATATATCTGTCTCTAAGGGCAACTTGGGTCATGTAACATGTCTCCAGAAATGGCTGGTGCTGAGGAACCCAGCATGGGTGTTATGTCTGATGTTTCAGGAGGTTTACTTTAGACTAATTGAACTGCCTTAACTGTGCCTCTGAGCTTATCTTCTCATTTAGTTTCTTCCAAAAAATAACCCATTTTGGACAGTCCAGGATTGTTCCCTGATGGAAGCCAAGCCTGTAAAACTAGATACAAAGCCTACAGATGGACTCATAGGTACCTGCTTCTAGAGGCACTGATTTGAGTTCTATTTCATTGCAGCATCTGGTGCTCTCCTGAGCTAGTAGCTGGATTCTTGTCCAGTATTCAGCCAGTATTTAACCTCTAGGCATGAAAGACAAAACTTTGACCATGTCTGTTTGACTTTCATCCTTGATTATAGTACTGATGGATGGTGGGGTTGTCACCACCCCCTTTCCTCCATTATTTTCAAGGGCGTCACACATTACTTAGTTACTTTATTAACCCACTAATAACTGCAGCTTAATGTTAAGTCACAGAATTCTATTTAATCAAAGAGTTAATTTCCTTAGGAATACTCCTTTTTCCATTATACCCACAGGGCAAACAGCAAAATAGGAGTTTTTGCCTTTTAAATTCATTACTCTGAACTTACTGGAATTTCAAATGTTCTTTGTGCTCAGAAACAGCGCAGCTGCTTTTGATTGTATCTGATGGAAGAGGCCTTTTCTTGGAAGGCAAGGAACGGGTGACAGCAGCAGTTCAAGCAGCTCGGAATGCCAATATCTTTGTTATTTTCGTAGTGTTGGACAACCCTAATTCCCGGGTAAGTGAACAAGGGAGAAGTATTCAACTGCAGTGAATGAGAAACTGATACAAATCTTTTTATGTCTTTCATAGTGCCATACAGCTACCTTATCTTTTGTAGAGGTTAGAGATACTGAACCCAGTTGCAGTTTTCCACGTCTGCTACATCTGCCATTTCTTCCTACTGTGCTTCTTATCTTTTGTATTAAAAAAAAAAATATCAGCTTCCAAGCCACAGAAAGGCTAGGACTCCCGTTTTCAAACAGAATGGTTGTAGCTCTTGGCCACCAGGGAAGCAGCTGGCAGGTTGACAGATTTGAAGTTTGAGAGATGCTTTGTTCCATCTCAGCTCTGATTCAGCTTGATAATTTCTGACAGCAGTCCCCAATTGACATGACAGCTGGAGCCAGTATGAGATTAAACATTAGACAGAAGGGAATATGTGAGAGTTACTTAGCCCCTCAGTTGGGAAAGCCGAGTCCTGCATCTGGTAATGGGGGAAGAAAACTTAAGATATCCTTGGATGAGAAGCTGAAATATCTGGGAGTGTTTCAGGAAGGCTCTGTAGTGCAGTAAGTAAGCAAACATAAACCTGACAGTAAATTATGTGGTAAAGACTCTAATTTTCGTGGTTTGTTTTGGGTTTTTTGTTTGTTTGTTTTTTTGCTTGTGTTTTCTTCTTGTATCTTTATTTTTGAATACAAAACTCATCTGCTATATTTATTGCTGAAAAACTAAAAGTTCTCCTGCTGACAAACAGCTGAAAGGTTCTGATGAAGCCTGGCTGTAGTATCAAGCAAAACTGGGTGTTTTTCATAAGCTTTTTGTTTTCTGGGGAAAAAAGGTGCTTTCCATAATCTTTATTAATTTCTGAGCTGCTACACTGAGCAGCTACGAAGTTACTTTACAAGAAGCACAGCTGGAGTTTAATCTGATTTTTGTCTTTAAGGTATTTGTTGAAATACTGTGAAGTTACTAAAGAATCTTCTATTAGAGCACTGCACAAATATTAGTTGAACTCAGCACTAAAGAGCTTACAGACTCTCTTGGGAAGGCATCAAATTAATAACACTAAAGTGCCAACAGTAAACTCAAATCATAAAATGCTAAGAAAAGACAGAATTTATTTACAGAATGTGGTATTGCAGAAGCTTAAGCTTAGTCTCTTCTAGCCTATAATTCATGGATTAGTACACTTTTATCTGAAAGGGCAAAAGCATTTAACTGTTTTATGTTCAGCTTCTGATCTGATTTACCATTGAACACTTAGAGCTTTTAATCTTGAAAGTATTTTATTAACTTTTATTCTAATGGGGGAGAATTAGAAGTACTTAGAAAATAAGGTAAATTCTGTCACTGGTCATAGAGTATGTGTGTCATTTAATAGTAACAGCAGTACTTTTTTTACAGGATTCTATTTTGGACATTAAAGTACCTATATTCAAAGGACCTGGAGAACTGCCTGAAATCAGGTCTTACATGGAAGAATTCCCATTCCCGTTCTACATGATCCTTAGAGATGTGAATGCGCTCCCAGAAACTCTGAGCGATGCCCTCAGACAGTGGTTTGAACTGGTCACTGCCTCTGACACTCTTTAGACTTTGGTAGACAAGGTCAGACCCGATTGCTGCTGCTGAACTGCTGAAATACAAGAAACTCTTGTCATAAAACTCTTCCCAACTGGGATTATCCTGTGGGAGCTGCCCTGGGGCAGAGACTGTGTAAGAACAGAATGGTTTGGGTGCATCCTCCCAGTGTGTCAGAGGACAATTATGCAATGGTGAGGCTGTCTCCTGCTATTCCCACAAGTAGCATAAAACTTGTCTCAGCTTCCCTTGTAATAACTTATTACCTTTTTAAGAAAAAAAAAAAATTGTTATATTAACAGAGGTAATATTATTCCTGCTCCTCCCTCCCTGCTAAGTAAAGCCAGCCTTGTTCCTGGGAAAGTATTTCTGCATTAGAAGTTGGGGTGTCTTGCAAATAAAGCTTTCTTCAGTATCACCCATGTGGAGATGCTTCTGGGAAGGAAAGGAATGGGGAGCAGGAGAGGAAGATGGTTTAAATCAACCAAAAAAAAAAAAAAAAGTACTCGAATACTTGAAACTATTCTGCGGTTTTAACATGGCCTTTTTAATTATTGCTGATTTTTGCCTGACGATAGCAGGGAATTTTCTGAATCTTGCCATATGCTGATCCCTTCCTTACCACTTTACACTGTGAAGTTTGCCCCAGTCCGAGGCAGGCGTTGGGGATGTTTCATAAATCCGATGTCTTGGAGCACGGACGTGATTTTTCATCGCAAAAGCTATGCATCTTGTATCGTCTGTACTAATAAAGACAGGTACCGCTCTTTGTAATTACGACGTCCGTGCCTTGAATTGATCAAAGCTTCCGTACAGCGAGCGACCGACCGTACCCGGGCCGTGAGTGCTGGGACGAGGCAGGAAATGGCGGCCGTGGCCCCGCCCGCGCGGGGCGGGCTGGGCGGCCCCGTGGCGGGGCAGGGCCAGGGCAAGGGGAAGGGGCGGAGCCGCGCCATGGCCGCCGGGCGCCTCCCGCCGGGAGCGCTCACCCTCAAACAGGTACGGGCGGGCTGGGGGATCGGGCAGGGCGGTGTCCTGTAGAAACGACAGGGAGCTCGGCGGTTGTTTAAATGTCCCTCAAAGCAAAGCGCCGAGGGTGCAGCTCGCGGCACTGTCCTGAGGCAGACTTGCCTCTCCTCTTGCCAGTTCCTGAGGCGGCAGCAGGTCCTGCAGCTGTACCGCAAGATCCTGCGGGCTATCCGGGAGGTCCCTGCTGAGCAGGATCGCCGCTACTTAAAGGACTGGGCCCGGGAGGAATTCAAGAGAAATAAGGATGCTACAGAAGAGGTGAGGATGGGGAATCCGCAACTCCGATCGCCTGCCCTCGGGAATGGTCACTGCACTGCCCTGTCTTGTGTCATGGGGTTTTGTTTTGTGGGTGTTTCTTCCAGACTGGTGAGAAGTCTCCTGTTACTATTTCCTCATTTATGCAAAGAAATAACCCAGCGTCTCTAAATATTATCCCTCCCTCTTAGCTGTAGTAATGTTTCTCAAATTTCAGGAGAATAATCTGGAATTAAAAACCTAAAAAAACAAATACTCTGCTTACTCAAACCACAGATCAGGAAAACGGTATTGAATAATATGGTAGCTAACATAAACTTAATAATGGTTAAGCTTTTTATAGCTTTTTTTTTAGCTTTAATTTTACCTATATTCAAGCAGAATACAATCAAATGGGATGTGAAGCAAGTGCAAAATTCAAAAACCTTCACATTTCTTGTACACCTCCTGTTCTCTGCTTCCTGGTTCATTCCCTTTTCTAGCCAGTGCCCAGGGAATTGGTGGCTGAATTATGCAGACAAAGACTCAGTCCTTAGATAATGTTGAGAGAAACCCACACCTGCTCTGTAAAACCGATCTCCATAATGCTCGTGTACCCTTCTCACTACTGGCTTGCAAAGGCAGTACACACACAAGCATAAAGAAAACAGTATTAGGAGTTTGAATCCTGTTAAAAACTGAGTTTCAAAGCAAAGCCACAACCAAGTACATTGTTAAGGAACTGGAGAAAATTATCCATTTATTTACCTGGTTTTAACCATCTGAGAGACAGCAGTGTTAGGTCACACAAATAAGTAAATGACAGTAGTGCCAGTAAGAATTGTATGTATTTTAATGCGCTAAAAGTTTGTGTGCTTGTGGAAAACTCGTGCTGTGTATGGATGGGCAGTTCACTAGATTCCATTCTGTTTTATAGGATGCAATCAGGATGATGATTACTCAAGGCAACATGCAACTTCAGGAACTTCAGAGAACACTTAAGCTGGCAAAATCCTGATCTTCATTTTGTTGACAGTTGGATTTTTATCTTTTGCAAATAGGCACGGTGTTTTTTGCAGAATGTGGTTATAATGGCAGCCTTTGCTGGCAACCTGGTAATGTTTGAAGGAGGAATCTACCACCGAGGGGGTTTTGTTTTTTCCCCTTTCTCATACATTTCTCAGTTTGGCTACCCTCTGAAGGGAGAATCCCTTGGACACAAAGGACATTTAAGAACTGGATGGAAAATGTAGCATGTGCTGCAGGAAAAGCAGAAAGCACCAAAAATTACAGCAGCTGTGCTATTGCCAGTGCAATGGAAAATAAATATATGCCAGATTATTTTGTCTGCTTTTTACTGTGGTAGCTGTAATTGGTAATATTCACAATGACACCTCTTTGTGTACTGTGCCAAGAATTTTCACCAAAATTTGTGATTAAAACAGAATTTGGGATAAATAAATTGGCCCAGAACACAGAAACATTAAAAAAATGTTTTGTGTGTAGATGTTGATTTTCAGTAGGAGCTAAATAAGAAAGGGAGGTCTTTATTTATGAAAATGGGAGATTTTAGTCCCAGAAATGTTTATTACCGAGTACCTTCAAACTAGTATTTAAAAGTTAACATATAAAGAAGAGTTACAGGTAGAAAATACTAACTGCAAAAGTTGTGGTTTATTCAAATGTTACATTACTTCTAATTGTTAGCTTGCAACTGTTCTCACAGTGTATCTTTTTGTATCACACTGTATCTTTTTTTCCCATGTAATTTAAAAATGCTCAGACGAGCTGGGGATTTTTTCCACATTACTAGACAGGCAGCAGTAGATCGATGCCTGACTCTTTTAGGTTGTGATTCCAAGACATGCAGGAACTTTTCCCTCTCCCACCTGCTATTGTAGTTCCCTGAGGGAACACCCCTGCTTTTCAAGGTGGTTTTCTGCAGAGTTGCTAAGCTGCACAAACTGACAGCAAATCGGTAAATAGGTATCACCACTGGCACCAGGGAAGGGACAGGACAGAAATTCCAGGCTACAGGAGGAACGACCCCAGCTGGGAGCAGGAGCTGTGGTTCAGATCTGTATAGACTGAAGCCTCTGAGCTTCAATCAGTCAGTGAAAAATACGTATCTAAAAATGCTTCATGAAAATTTTATATTTTGTTAAAATTTCCTGGTAGAACAGACTGACAGAACATTTTTGTATTGGAGATTTATTTTTCATGTTAAGAAAAAGTGCTGCTTAGAAAGGTATTTTGACTGAATAGCCATAACCAATACTGGCTGTTACCACAGTACCCTTCCCTTCCCCTTCAGCCAGTGCTTGGATTTCTGTTCTTTAGTGAGGAGGCTTGACCCTGCTGCCTCACCATGGTGCTTTCCTTTCAGATCCCAGAGCCTGCATTATTCCTTTGACTCCCAGTTTGTATGCTTCCAGGTTGTGGGCACATAATCCAGAGCTAGGATTGACAGGGAGGGCCCTGGACAGATGCTGACCTCTTGAGTGCTGCTGCCCTTTACTGCTCTATGGGCTTGTCAAGATAAAGTTGCCAGCCAGAAGCCTTAAAGAGTCCAAGTAAACAGCCTGCGAGGTTAAGTAAAGTTACCTGAAGAGAAAGTAGGTAGATCACACCTGTTTATAAAGTCCTTCAGAGTTTTGAAGAAGGGAGAAGTATAGAAAGGAATTAGCAGAAAATTCTTCTCTTTCTTTTACCATACACTCATTGGCTTCAGAGAACCTCTAAAATCAGTAACCTGCAGCGTGGTTACTGCCTTTGATTGCTTGGTAATTACTTGGATTTACTTAAAGTATGTGAACCTATGAGTGTGGTCCAGTGTGGCCTGTATGAGAAGTAGAGCTAAAGCCCCAGCCTCTCCCCTGAGCTTGGGCAAGCTCAGGAACGTGTGTGTGATCCATGCACAACTCAGCCCTGTGCCTGTAAATTCTGAAAGGGGCACCTGCACCAGCCAACAGAGTACTCAGTCCCTGCAACTTCCCTTGGCACAGATGGCAGACTCCATTACTGTGTTTTATAAGTGCAAACAAAAAGCTTAGAAGCTGAAGTCCAATCTTCTGCTCCCTGCTCCGAGTCAAGTGAGGGGACTGTGTCAGTTTCCTGTGGGTAGAAATCGTTACACCACACATTTCTGAGCAACAATTACTTTAATTGCTTGGCAAAACATTGACTTCATCCAGGTGATACAAAACTTCAACAGCATGCTTTTGCATTCCTACTGTAGCTTCAAACTGTAAACACACCAAAGTGTCTATATTAGACTACAGAAGTCAGAGCAAAACTAGTATTTCCACAGCTGCAGATACACTTCTCTTGTCGTGATAGTGCATTAATAGGAACTTTAAAAATAGTGTTTATATAATATGACTTTTTTTGTTTTATACATCTGCTAAGAAGACAAAAGCTTAATTACTAATTAGTGAATGGAGTTTTTCAACACTGTAAAGTATTTTGTATTGATTTTAGAGCTCCTTAGTACAGAAAAAAAAGTATTTTTCTCCTTGGCATAACAGTACCATCCTGTGTTGGAACTGATTTTGAACAGTTGTTCTGTCATGATCTGGTAAGTAAACTTAATTTTCTAGCAGAATCTGATGGAGCCTTCTCAGATGTGTAAGGAAGAGTCCCTAAAGGGGTGCAGATACAATAGTTATGATGCCTTGAGATTATTTGGAGTCTGTCAGCATGGACAGCATTTGTCAATGGAAGTTCCAAATTTAAAACAAAACACATCGATAAAACTTTTAAAATGCTGAGTACTGTTTTGTGGGGCTGTTTGTCCTAAAACCTGTAGACTCAGCAGGGCCTGGTGTCCTTTTTGGAGACAGAAGGGAAAAAAAAAAACCACAGGTGGAATCATTCAGAGAAACAAAGGTAGACAGTCTGGACAAGGTGCCTGGGAAAAAAATCCTGACTGCAGAAGAAGAAACATTTGAATACAGGGAGCCAAGCTTTCACTTGCTTAGATAAAGGACTTTTTTCAAGCTTCTCCAATAGTAGACAATTCAGCCATTTCCTGCTTGAAGGAAAAAAGATTTATATAAACATTCAACCTAACAAATAGACCACACTCACATAAAATACTTGCCATCCATGCCCTAAACAAAAGTTCTCAGATTACTGGAGTACAGCCCCAAAAATAGTGTAACCACAAGGAGCTCTGCTTGCAGGACACCATTAAAAAAACAAATCAGATTTAGGACTTGTTTTAATAATGGAAAACCACGAGAAAAGCAAAGTGGTAGCTGAAGCCTCTGTACCTGATGGGATGAGTTGCCTTAGCATCTCCCTCCATGCTTGTCTGCCCTCTCCCAGCTGGAAGCCTGCATCTGTCACCTGCCTGGGCTTGTAACTGGAGTGAGTTCTTTAGCTTCTCTCCACTGACTAAAGAGAGGCTCTGGGAGGATCTAAAATAGGATCAATAGCCCTTCATCACTAAATAATTCTGTCAAAAGCTTTCAAACATCCTGGATTTATTTCAGTACTGGTATTACAACATGTTTACATGTGGCATACAGTAGAACCCTCTAGTCTGTGTCCTGTGTGGAAGTAAGGGAATTCCCTTTTCAGAAAGCAGTTTTGGTTACTAATGCAGTTTGGTTTCAAGCAGCATCTGGAAACTGAGTGCAATATTGAAGGACTCTTGGAAATAACAAAGAAAGGATCTGATCTGCAGCATCTCTTTGTTATCAATATAGTTTGCATATGAACTCTACTCAGTTATGGAGTTTCCACAGTAGTTTCTACTCCTGAAATAGAGTGTTGTGTTTGGATGTAACAGGCACTACATATATCTATCAATATTCCAAATTCCCATACAGCAGGCTCCAGAATGAGTCCTGTTGCTTGATTACCTGCCTGGCAGGTGCTAGCTCTCTTTCTGCACCTTAGTCCTTAATTTGCTCAGCTCCTCTTCTAAGCATTTGATGTGCTCCTTGAGAGCAGCTTTGTCCTGCTGCGCTCTCTGGTTCGCTTGGCACCGGGCTTCTTCTATCTTGCGCTCGTACCACTTCTCCATCTGCGTGGAAACGGCCTCGAAGAAGTACTGGGTTATCTCCAGGGCCTGGGAGGTGTCTTTGAGCGGAGGGGCAGGCGGGGCTGAGGGCTGCGGCTCCTGGCCCTGCTGTGCCCCGGCGTGGTGCAGAGCTTTGTGCCTCGACTGCCCACTTCTGCTGGACTTTTTCGTCTGAGTTCCTTTGTCAATGAAGTAGCCGCTCTGTGGTTCAGTCTTTGCAGGTTCAGTCACTGGCTGCAAAGCAGCTTGAACTTTAACGTGTCTTAATTTGGAGCCTGAAAGCTCGGAGGAGGGCAGGTCCTGCTGGAACCTGTGGAACGTGCTGGCACTCACAGCTTTGTCCTTTGGCCTGACATCTTGAGCAGTGGCAGAAGAAGAAACTGGTCCACCAGTCACTACCTGTTGCTCTGTACCTATAGAATAAATTATAGACAATATATTAAGAAAAGCTCTAGGCATTTATTTTAGCACTCACAAGACCTGTTTTTTGATGAATGATAGGGTTTTGTGTGTACAGACTTATATTAGTTTATCACACCTTCACAGGCAGGTGATGTAATAGGTAGTCATTAAAGGAGAAAAGCTGGCCCAGGCAGAGGGGTGCTGCATTGCAGCTGTGGGGCTACAGATGGATAACAGGCAAAAGACATAAATATTAGCCAAAAATTCTTTACTGTGAGGCACTGGCACAGGTTACCCAGAGAAGTTGTGGTTGCCCCATCCTCAGAACGCCAGGATGGACGTGGCTCTGAGCAATCTGGTACAGTGGAAAATGTCCCTACCCAT